GTGATTGGGTGAGGTGTGGTGGGACAGAGGTTTGGACCACCTAGGTGCTCAGCTTGGGACCACATTTTCGTCATTCGACCTACTTACCTAAATACTCATGGAGGTATAAAGACGCGTCAGTCTCTCTGCCCTGAAATTTAATTGCTTATACATACCACTGCCACAGATTCCGACCCATGCTGGTTTTATCTTGACTTGACCTGGCTTGACTTCTGGGATTGGGATCTTCTCAAATCTCAGGTCCTTTTGGCCGTGGAACCGCAGCGCGTTCATGGTCCTCTCGCCCGAGGGTGCGGAATGAGCTGAGTCTGAAGCTGACATGTTTTCAGGTGCTATTACAAGTATTAATATGCGACTTCGTACTTCGAAATCTAGATGAGACGATTAAAAAGAAGAGTTGGAGTGGAAGATATATGGCGACGACAGCACAACGTGGCCTTCGAGACTGAGAGCTAACCAAGTCATGATCAAAGTCTCGCGCCTGATTGCTCAACTCTCGGCATTTCTGGCTTTCCGCTCTGTTGGAATACTGGAACGGCGGATTGCTGTGTCTATCTCCATCACGGCATACCGCATTCGGCAAGCCCTGTGTCCATCACCCCGCATTCTCAGTGCGGGGTATCAAACACCGAAGAAGATAGAGCAGGTTTGGGGACTGGATTGGTTTCCCGAGACTCATCAGACCAGGAGAATTGGACGATACCACTTCTGGTCACGGAAGCTCTTGGGGGTCTGGGCCCAGGGGAGAAACAGAATTTGGTTGTTGATAACGGCCTACTGCTTGAAAGGTACAAGCTCCTCTGTTCACATCCCACACAGAAAATCGACGGCAGTGCCCGAGATGGAGCCGTGAGAGACAATTGAGAAGATTTCGGTCACATCTAGCAAGCTGGTCTGAGCGACGAAGCGAACAGCAATCATGGATGCAGTGTTGATGGTGGTTGCGAGGAGAAGATGAAGACGACGTCGGCAACTGTCGGCGGTCGGAATAGGTGGTGATCGGGCACTGGACCGATCGGAACGACGTCGGAAACATTTTTTCCCCGTTCACCCTTCGCTGTCTCCACAAGCCTCATACGGCCTTTTGACAGTGGCAGTCTAGACAGCCAAGTCGCGCTCGAAGCTTGAGAGGCGACATGACAAGTTCTGCCGCACCTCGGCATAGCCGAAACGAGCCAATACGTAGCGTGGGCTACTTGGACGCGGGATGTAGCAAGCTTTGACATCGAGTCGTCAACGGCGGATGCGAAAACACGATGCAACGGTAAAAAGCGCGATCGTTGACGCGTGGGTGACGGTCAAGAAAAGGTACCATGCACAATACACTAGACAACCCTCTCATGGCTGCATGACGGTCCAATCACACGGCCCCACAAGTCTCCATGGCGGGGGCCTTCTAGAACTCATCCACTGTTATGATATCACTGGCCAGTGACGATGGGTCTCGTCGACAGCTGGCCGTAGATTTCCCGGTGCTTCAACCAACCCCCGGGGCTTCAAATACCTCTTACTTCCCCTCGACACCTACCCCTCCATTGCACAACCCCCTTCGCCTCTTTCCTCCTCACACACCGTGTATCCAACTTCAAGATGCCTTATCCAGAGACCACCGACGCTTTCGCCGTCACTGACATCAAGAACTGGAGCAACTTTACCCGCAAGGAGGTCAGTCTCCGGCCCGAATTTCCCACCAATCGTCTTATTGACCTTCTGGCAGTTGCCCCTCAAGAAGTTCGAGGAGCACGACGTCGACATCGCCATTGATGCCTGCGGTGTGTGCGCTTCAGATGTCCACACCATTAGCGGTGGATGGGGAGAGTCAATTCCCCTTCCTCTCTGCGTAGGACACGAGGTCATTGGTAAGGTCATCAAGGTCGGATCCAAGGTCACCAAGGTCAAGGTTGGCGACCGTGCCGGTATTGGCGCTCAGATTGGCGCCGACTTGACCTGCGATCAATGCAAGAACGATCAGGAGAACTACTGCCCTAATTCTGTTGACACATACGGTGCTAAGCACACCGATGGCACTGTTGCACAGGGTGGTTACGCCAGCCACATCAGAGGCCACGAGTACTTTGTCTTCAAGATCCCAGACAACATCGAGACTTCCCTGGCGGCGCCTATGCTGTGTGCTGGTCTTACCACATATTCACCATTGAAGAGGCTAGGAGCCGGCCCTGGAAAGAAGGTCGGTATCATTGGACTGTAAGTCTCAACACCAAAGATATTGCCGTATCAGTCACTAACACCACCAAAGCGGAGGTCTCGGTCACTTTGGTGTCCTCTGGTCTGTCGCCATGGGCGCCGACACCTACGTCATCTCGCACACTCCCAACAAGAAGGACGACGCTCTGAAGATGGGAGCCAAGGACTTCATCGTCACCAAGGACAAGGGCTGGTCCGAGCCATGGAAGTTCCACTTCGACTTCGTCATCAACACCGCCGATGCCACCGACAAGTTCGACCTCGCAGAATACTTCTCCATCCTCAAGGTCAACGGCACCTTCCACATGGTCGGCTTCCCCGACAACCCGCTCCCACCCATCCCCGCCCAGATCTTTGCCCCCAACGGCTGCTACATGGGCGCGTCGCACATTGGCAATCGACCCGAGATGGAGGAGATGTTCGAGCTCGCTTCCAAGCAGAACATCAAGAGCTGGGTGCAGGAAATCCAGATTAGCGAGGAGGGCTGCAAGGAGGCCGTCGAGCGCGTCTACAAGAACGACAATGTCAGGTACAGGATAACACTGACGGGTTTTGACAAGGTCTTTGGCAAGAGGGCTTAGGGAGCTGCAGTAGACAGACACTAGTATATACCCGCAGGCTGTCAGTATGGCTATTAAAAAAATATAATCATATGTTCTAATCATGACGTCATGTTTACTACTACGCTGTGCTATGTCACTGGAACTACCATAGCTTTCTTTGTAAACACGAATTTAGCCAACATGGATTTTGTGCCGACATTATCCATTCAAACAACGTGATCACGAACGATAAGATGAAAACAAGTTCAAGAAAAAAGAAATAACAGGTCTAATTGGTATTCAAGACCAAAACTCCCAAAATCATGCCAAACCCGCTCAGTAATACACATGTGTTGCCTTCCGCTCTGCTCCTCATGCCTCGGACCTAAGCAACCTCCTCCACCATCTTCCCACTAAACGGCTTCTGCGCCGCTTTCGCCACATCACCCGCAAACATGCTGCCAACGGGCGCTTGCAGCCATTCTTCCGGGACGCCAAGCTGTGTGCCCTTTGCATTTTGGATGTAGCGGACAAAGAGGGGGTTTGCGCGCTCGGGTTCTGGTTCTTCGGGGCCGTCTTCTGGGGCGTCCTGGGCAGCTTTGCGGCCGCGTTTTGGGGGTTGTTTTTTGAGGAGGCGGTTGATGGTGTCGAGCTATATGAGAGAATTAGTGAACGTTTGTGTGAAAATGAATGTAGGGGGACAGTGGGAAAGGAGATGTACCTTTTCTTCCTCGTTCCTCTTCTCGCTCAGATTCTTTCTTCGTCTTGCCATTTCTGCCCTGCGCATAGCGTGTTCTTCTGCCGTAAGATGTTTCTTCTTCTGTGCTTCGTTGGAGAGGGCCAGGAGACCTCCGTCGGTGTCGTCGTTGACTAATGCGCGTTGCCGTTTGGTCATCTTGGTCACATCGGGCGTTTGGTCACGGCTGAGTTCCTCATCGCTGTCCATTTCTTCGTCCATGTCTGCGCCAGGCGTTATGCCCATGTCGTCATCATCCTCGCCTTCAGCGTCTTCGTCCTCGCCCTCGGCATCTTCGTCGTCGTCGAGATCCGAATCAGGGTCGCTAAGCTCCTCGTCGTCGTCATCGTCCATTGCCATTTCTTTGGCCTCGACCTTGTCTTGGGCCTTGGTGGCTGTGCCGGCGGATGGCTTGATGGGGGCGCTTCGATTGGTGTTCACAACGATACGTGGCGCTGGTGTGTCCTCCATATCATCGTCCTCATCTCCCTCTGCGTCCATATCCTCATCGTCGTCGTCGCCTTGGGCATCTTCGTTGTCATCCTCGTCCTCATCCACGTCCATGGCATCGGCCTCGTCTACATCCTCGTCCTCTTCCTCGTCCTCGTCCTCTTCGCTATCGACCTCCTGGACTACGCGACTGTTCCGTGACGCGCGCTTTCCCACGACTATGTTGTCGCGGCTGACACCCGCTTTGGGTGCGGCACCGCCAGTGGCTTGTCTGAGCTTGTTGGGCGATGATTTCACTGTGAGGTGTATTGACTGGCGCGTCTCCTCGGGCGAGGAGCGCTGTATGGTAGCAGCCGCAAGTGACTGATTTGCCGTGCCGCGTCGCGGGCGGGTCGAGGAAGCTGCAGGAGTGGCACTGTACGATGTTAGAGGAGCCGGAGCTGCGCGTGACCGTAGGCGAGGCATGGCTGTGGCAATATGTGCGAGCAAGGCCGTCGAGAGGAGGAGAAGAGGAGTGCAGGTTAATGAGAGGGATGGCGATGGTGTAAGATGACCTCCGCGTGCCCCCGTGGCTCAAGGCAGGGGTGCTTGCGTATGTGTGCAGGCGGGTGGCACAAAGATGGAGGTGAATGACAAAAAGACGGCCCTGTGTGGCCCTGACAGCTCTCTACGGCGGTTGTCGTCCCCACGCTGCCCTTGGCGATGGGTGCCAGCCAGCTATGCGTCGCGCACGCAGTCAGCCACATACCTGCTGTTTCCTCGACTGTCCCATCCATCTCCCTCGGACTCATGATACTCGGTGCTTATGCGTCGCATCCGCTTAGCCGCACGCTCAGCCATTACTGCGATCAAACAGGCGGTGGTATTATGTCTCGCGAGTGTTCCAATTGGCCGTTGCGACCACTTAACGCGTGAAGTTACTCTGCGCTGGCTCAACCTTCAGATGGAGAAGCGCCGGGATCTTCCCCAAGTCCCATGCCTGCTAGCCTCATCGGGCTAGACACTGGTCTCGCCCATGGTCACCAACGCACGCCGCATCACTTGCATCACTTCCCTTGCACACAATGAACATGACTCTTGCATTCGTTACTTGTCTATCCACATCTCTAAACAAGCGCTGCCTTCACAGTCTCCTCAAGGCTCTCCTTTGGCACTCCAAGCTTGTCGTTCCAAAGACCCAAAGACGAGAAATCGCCCAGCTGCTCGTCCTTTGAAAATGCCAAGCCCTGAAGCAGATCTGCAATGGCCGAAAATTCTCCCTTCTGGAGCTTCTCACGGGCTTGTGCAATATGGTCCTTAGTACTGATCTTCTCCAGTGTCCACTTTGTACCAGTCACCTTCTCCGCCACTGCCAGGATTTCCTTTTGTGATGTCTGGAAGCCGCTGATGTACACGTACTGGTTCTTTGTCAGATCCGCATGCTCGAGAGCCTTGACTGTTGCAACACCAATTTGGTGAAGGTTCGTTGTGGAGAATGTAGCTTCGCCCTCATCGAAAAAGTTAACTGTCTTGGAGTGGCTTTGGAAGCCCAAGAACCCAACCTTAAGTCCCCAGTCAAAGAAAGCTCCAGGGATTATACCCGTCCAGCTGATTTCCGCCTCCCTGCTCTTGAGATAGTTAACCGTAGCAAACTTGGCCTCAAACACGGGCACAATTTCACGAGCCCGCTTGCTAGCCGTGTTGCTTCCGAACTCTGAGGGTAGGAAACGTTTCACGCCTGCCGCAATAGCAGCATCAATGAGCTTGTGCTGATCACCAAGCGCCATGCCACCGACAAGAGATACGACGGCATCCTGTCCTTTGAAAGCTGTTTGGAGACTCTCTAGCGAATCGTAGTCTGCGTGGATCACTTTGACATCGGGAGGGAATGTGGAATTTGAGTTTTGACGTGAGAGCACAGTTGTGTTGAAAGAAGACTCTTTCAAAAAGGCATTCAGAACTGAGGGTCCTAGGTTTCCGCCCGCCTGATGCAGTTAGTGTCCGCTAACCAAGTATATACGAGATACCTACCCCGATGATGATGACGTTTTTGATTGACATGGTTAGTAGGCAAGAAATAGAAGAAAGATTTAAGTGTCGAGGCGCTTTAGATATTGGTGTGCAATTGTTGTGTTGGATGAGAAGTGAGATTGGTTGCAGAATAAGTACTCCCAAGTCTTCCTATCTTATATCTGGGCACGTCTCGAGGAAGACGTGATCAAGCACTGTTACGGTGCATGCACATGTAAATTGCCCCACATGCACTAAACCCGCACTGTCTCGGACATGCTCGGACATGCGCTTCTTCCCGCGCGCATTAATAATCCAACATACTTACACCTAGCAGCGGAGCAAGGTCCTACTACTACGATTCCTAGTCCTGCAGCGCTCCAAAAGAGTAACCAATGGTGCGCCGCCTTAACGAAAGTATCTATTTGTACACCGTAGCCGCTTTGTCTCGAGCCTCTGATGGAGGAATGCGTACCCAGCCTTTCAGGTGACAGTGGCCGAGAGTCTCACCGTGTACTAACGGATACTTTGGAACTGCCGCCCGATGAGTGAGATGGCTTAGAAATGATGGCTTAGCTGAGCGTGGAGCCTGCTTAACAATTGTGCGGAACTGAAACCAGGGAAACTAGGAAAACCCAGGATACATTTTCTACCGAGGTGTTCAGTCCCGTGCGTCGACAAGAAGTCGTAGGAGTAGATAGCGACCGGAATAATGTAGCCGAGTAAACTGGTCAAGGTTCCTCGAGACATGTAGTAGGGTTACACGCAGTCATATTGCCAACTACCGAATGATCCTTCATTAGCCACAATGGCGCAATGGCTGATCGGAAACAACCAGAGCAAACATTCACTACCAACTCAACAGAAGAGCAAATGTTACCATATACCATTGAAGAGACGTCAGATGTCATACAGGAGGCGAAAAGGCATGATGAATCGAGATCGATGCACTGTCCTGATACACCATACCTTGGAGAAGTGTTTTATTCGGCTATATGGAATAGAGAATACTCAATCAACTGGTAGGTGGCCTGCTTGACAAGAACTTGGATATTCTAGGGCTTCTACGCCTACGTCTGCATCTACATTGAACTTACACAATGTCGCCCAACTCACACATCGCGCTGTTCATACCCAATGCTACAGTTCACAATGTCGACTACTTGGCGTATAAAAAAAGCGGATAACATTCTAGGATTACAATCCAAATACATCCAACCTCAACAACTGAACCGAAAGTTACAACATACGCAGAAATGGAGAGCTGCTTTGGCGACCCCTTCTTCTTCCATCGTGGCACCCTCTACGCAGAGGATATGGACCGCCGATCCGAGCGACAACGGATGCCAGGACCTAGAATTCCACTTCGAAGCCTCAGCCCGTCCCCTTCTTTTACCAATTGCACTTGCGCGCAAGAGGGAAACTGTCGTCCATACAATACAGAATCGCGTGTCCCGTCTTCTCCTTCCAGTCGTCATGGTTTCGCGCAAGAAAAGGAAATCCGCCATCCATATACTACAGAGTCATGTGCCTCGACTTCGTCTCCCTGGAATTCTGAGTATTACCCCAACCAGCCTCGTACACGAACACATCGGACATATCAGACAGAGGACAGAGCACCTAGCAATGAGTACGGGTACGAGTCTGTGGAGTTCATACAGATGTCATGGGGGGCATCGTATGCATATTCTTACGAGTACTCTACTAATCCACCTACACCACCTCATTCACCGCGCACAGGAACAAACACTTCCAGAGGCAGATCACAACAAGCGCATCGCGCCACTGAAGAACGTCGACCACGTAGTGTTTCCCCCAAGCCGCGACAACAGCGTAAAGGTTCTGGTTCTCACCAGTATCCTCGCTCACCGCCGTCTGAATCCTACTGGTCGCATCATGAGCCTCATTCTCCGCTTGAGGGTTTTAAGCCTCGCACAGATCTGTACAACGTACTCAAAATCTCCCGCAACGCTACAACCAATGACATCAATAAGGCATATCGTGCCCTGAGCCTGAAGTGGCACCCTGATCGCTGCAAGAGCGAGGATCGCGCAAAGGCCACGAAGAAGATGGTCGAGATCAACCAGGCAAAGGAGATCTTGTGCGACAAGGGGAAGAGAGAGTACTATGATCACTTCGGTCTGATATCTAGTGACTTGTAGACTACTCTGACAGAAGTAGAGAGTTCGACAACCAAGTGACGTGTGCACCACTCTGATAGCAGAGAAACCATGACTTGTACACCACTCTAATAGCAGAGAAGCAAGATACTGTACAAATACATATCATACAAAATCATTTTCTTATAGAAAAGAAAAAAAACATAAAATGAAATCATTTCTTCAAGCCATAGGCACGGGTCTCAAATGCCCATCCTTGTCATACTTTGCCTTGAAAAACGTGTAACTCAGCGTCACAGTCTCAATCCCCTTCATATTCGGATCGGTAACGAACTCCGGGTCGATGTAAAAGAAAACAGGCATATCCACCGTCTCCCCCGCATTCAACCGCTGCTCTTCGAAGCAAAAACATTGGATCTTGCTGAAATACGGGGCAACCTGGCCGGGCGTAACAGAGTACGTCGCCACGCCGATGATGTCCTCGGGCGACTTGTTCGTCGCCGTGTAGAAAGCCAGTGCCGTTTCGCCGGGGAGGACGCGGACTTCGCGTTGCTGCGGCACAAATTTCCAAGGGAGCACGTCGGAGACGGAGCCGTTGAAGGTTATGCGGATGCGGGGGTGGTTGGTTACTGGTTTGAGGCGCTCGGCGGGGTCGATGCTGGAATCGCCGCCGTGCGCGGCGGACTTGATGGGTTGGCCGCCCCAGCCAGTTTGTTGACAGATCTTGAGGATTAAAGTCAGTGGGGGTGGGATTGGCAAGATGGGGGGTGGGTGGGTAGTAATACCATTTTGTACATGGGTACAGAGCCGTATGATAGAGCTACGAAACCGACTATTACACTAAATACATAATTCCTGTTCACATTGAGTATTTATTCCACCGGATTGAGTCCAATTCTCTCTCACATGACAGTTCTGTTTTTCATTTTGTATTGCGCGTGCATTTGGTCCATTCGCGGTACGGTGCCATGTTGCGCAGCTCTTGTAGTGTTTAAGCATTTTTGCACAGCGGAGACGGGATTGTGGGCGCGTAGTATCCTGGCGAGCGGACGGGAGCATGCTGAACATGTCCATAGGCCTATTTGCCGCGAGGGCAGCTGTCGTAATGTTGACGTGAAGGACATTGTTGTGTGAGCGGAGATGCAGTGAATTGCTCGTCGAAACCTCGGTGGAGTGGTGGAACTTCTCCGCGGGATTTAACCGCTTTGGGAATGTCTGCAAGGGCAAAAGTTCTGGGCTGGTTGCGCGCGTAGTCTCTAACACTCCAACACGACCTTTCTTCAATCCACCGCTCGTTTTGTTCTTTGCGCATCTACACTCTGGCAATTCTTCACCAAAACTCAACGACTTGCACACAATGGCGACGGTACTCTGCGGCGTCTGCGAGACAGAGCCAAAGAAATACAAATGCCCAACTTGCGCGCTTCCATAGTACGGCACATTCAGCTTCTCCCCAGGATAGAGGAACTAACATGGACAGCTGCTCATTGACATGCTTCAAGACACACAAAGTCACACACCCAGAAGACGCCGCCTCATCGACATCAAAACCCGCCGAGCCAACCATCCCACAACCACCACCGCCCGCTCCTATACCGCGCTACCTCAAAAGCCGCACCGACTTCTCTACTCTAGCCACCAGCCCCAAATATCAGGCCCTTCTAAAGGAAAACCCTATATTACTCTCTACCCTCCAACGTGTCTACGCCAAAACCATACAGCCGGATCCGGAAGATGAGAGACGACGACGCATGCTCGAGAGGAACATGTCTCGAGGACGAGGGTCAAGAGGTAGAGGAAGAGGGAGGGGAAGAGGGAGGGGAAGAGGAGGCAGGCATTGGGAAGACAGAGAAGAGAGGTGGACACCTAAGAAGGGGGACAAAGATGCCATGGCTGTGCTAAAGGCGATTCGGGATGGGGAGGACAACCCAGAGGAAAAAGAGGCGATGGCACAATTTGTGGAGTTTGTCGAAGAGCTTTTCGGAAAGAAAGATACGACGAGTGGTGTTGAAGGATGAGCCGCGACCTGAGCCACGGAAACATCGAGATGGTTTACATTGATCCACCTTGATTTGTCGAATCGAGCTTGCTCCTACCAGATGAATGAGAAAATCGCCATGATAGTGGCTATCCGAAGAACGGAGATTCTCAGCTGTTGAGCAATTCCGTTTGTGCCAATGGAGCCAGATATGGGTATCAACGTATGGGAGGTTGAACACCATCAAAACCCCATTAAACCGGGCCTTCCTGCCCGCGTTCTGGGCCATGATCATATGGATACGAAGGGCATCCAGAGGCAAAGAATGCTAGCCAATAAAGATGTCATGAGCCAACATGAAGTAAATTTTTCGATATGTACCATCCACAGAAACATTTTCTAACCATGGTAGCATGTCTACGACCCTGTATCTGGTACCATCAGTACTCAGTCTAGCAACAAATCCGAATTAGCCTCAATCCAGCTATCCAGACAAATTCATAAGTGAACGCTCTAGTCAATTTCTAATTAACTAACTCAGTTGCGTCATAGTTTGAATATATTTATAGAATACCTTTTCTAGACCTAAGGCTAGTGCTAGCTTTACAGATGGTCGTGCCAACACCCATGTCAATGCGGCGCGAGTTGTAGTAATAGAGTCAGTGACTATAGTTCATATCGTGCGATGGCTCTTTGTCTTTCAAAGCTGTATTAAGTATTTATTACAACAACTGAGCTCTTGCTGTGACATCCAGCTTGAGTGGAGGCAGGTAGTAGCTGGATTGTTTCATCGAAAATCCGACTCATTGATATCACTGGTTCGTTGAATTGACTGAATGGCTATTTCTCCCATGTCTTTTTGGAAGAATTCATCATCCCATTTATTCAGAAAGACTTCTCCCTAAATGAAAGAAGATCATTACGTGTTGTGACTGTGAGCATAATGGCAAACAAAATGCTCAATCTGGTACCGCGAGGACTGCAATTCATACATCAGAACAAGAAAATGTGTTCAAGTGTTTGTTAGCTATAGACCTCCCAAAATGACTGCCGGTTTCTGAGCGTTCGAGTGGCTGTTGTTTGCTGCTTCGTTGTCCATGAATGGCAGGGGACAGCAGTCTTACAGCATCACCAATCAACTTTGAGATGTATCGGAGGTTTTTTGGTACTGAGGCAAACATTTAGAGATGCTGAGACACTAAGGAAGTACCACAATGTGTAGGCGTAACAATTTGGGTTTCCACTTTTGAATCATTGTCTTTTTCTAATTTAAACTTGAGTTTGCTTTCAAAGATCTGTCTTACAGGCGTAAAGACAGCATGTAAAAGGTGTAATTGAAATTATATTCAGGAGACACTCTTACCTTGCATGAGATATTCCTGTCGGATGAAGGAGACTACGCTGTCGTACTCTGTGCTCATTCCCAAGAAAGCCACTCCTGTAAGAGTCAAATACCTTCAAGTCGCCTGTCTTTACAATCACATCGAAAGCTCCGTCTGCCTGGTTCCTTGCTCAGAAACCAATTCTCTCTCACCAATGATTCCGAATGGGGATTCTGTGTTCTTCCGAAAGCAGACTCACCTGGCTAGCCCCAGACCAACCCACTTCATCGATGGCACAAGTACAGTACGCTTCATGGAACAAAACCTCGTCGTGCCGGAGTCCAACAACAACCGTGAAGTCCGTAAATCCGCACCAATCGTACCCAAACAGCGCTACCTCAACCTAAACCCAGGTGCAGCCTCATACCAAATCAAGCGAAAGTCACCTTCTCATGCAACCCAGAAGCCAGCACGAACAATGAACAAAAGAGCTTCAAACCATGACAGTAGCATCTTGCTCCCACCCCTACATATACGCCATAGTCCCGACATACCCCACCGAACCATACGCTTTGAAGACTTCGTGCCAGAGCACAAACTCAAGACGTGGCGCGAGATGGATGACGAGGAGCGGCGGGGCGCACGCACAAATTCGTTAAGTATTTTGATTGCCAACATCGTCGATAAAGTCAGATATCAGGTGAGAAAGATGACACGGTATACGCGTCTATGAACAAGCATAGCTGGATTATTGGAGGTTGCATAGTTCCGTAGCATTATGGTGTCTTTGCATCAAGAAGCAGTGTAATTCATTCTGAAAAGATATGCATACGCGTTGAAAAATGAAACTACAATATTCAAAGCAAGACTGGAGAGGGAGCATATACGGAATAGTAGTGTTCTTGAAATGGTGATGGTAGGTAGCGAGCCGCAGCCCCACATCCCGCAAAAACCAATGACGACATGAGCCCTCCCCACCCACCTCTTGCGCCCAATGAGTCAAATTCCATTATACCTACGCAGCTAACTAGACCACTTGTCACGTTCTCTCTCAGCATAGCGCTACCTAACCGTCTGATCTTTTGTGTTTTGTTTCATCACATATCACAACAATATAAAAGGAGATCTTCTCATCAAACATAACAGCCCGGCTGGCACAATTGGTTAGCGCGTGAGACTTTTAATCTCAAGGCTCAGGGTTCGGTAAGCGTCAACCGTGTTTGTGAGTTCGAAACCCCAAACTAACAATTCGTAGAGTCCCTGGTCGGGCGATCCAAAACATCTTTTTTGCTTCTGCATCCATATTGTGTTGTTCTTTTTTGTGTCCTTGGAGCCAAGTTAGTGCATCGCCCTATTCCTCGTGTCCCTCTTTTTTTCTCACTTTATCTTTCAAGGCCTAATAGGAAATACTGTACGTACTAGTACTACAACTACCTCTCTAGCCCTACCATGCAACCAAACCACCACAGACCCATCTATGTTCATTCCCCGACTTATCCCCCAACTTACCCAACCTTTCTCTCCATGCATCCATCCAAACAACGGAAAATTAAAAACCCCAATTGTCTCATTTTCTTCTCTCTCTCAACATGTTATAGCCATACAATTTAGTCCCATCCATTTACCCTCTAACCCCCACCGCTGATATCAACAAAAAAAAAACACCAAAATCACCAGAGAAGAGGAAGAAAAAAAGGCCGCCCCGCCTCACAAGCAAAGAAAAAAAAGGGTTCGTGCAGCACGAAGAAAATAAACCAAAGGGGGAGAGGCGAGAGCGAAGGACAGCGTCACCCTGAAAAAAGTTCCCTGACCCTGTTCCCCCCCGTGTTAACAACGTTTGATACCACAAAACAAAAAGCCCTACCCAAAAGTTCTGGCTCAGATTTAAGCTTTTTTTCGGTATTTGTTTATATTTTTATTATCGCGAAAGGGGGGACTGAAAAGGGAAAAGGGAAAAGGGAAGGAAGGGACGACGGGGGAGGGGCGTGGGTGGGTGCTTTGTGTGTTTGTATATATTTTGTTTTTATTTCTCTGTTCTAAAGAAGACATGTGTGTGTGTGTATGTGCACGTCCACGTGCGTTTCTTGACTCCCCTTTTGTTTTGTTTTTTCATGTTTTTGCCGCAAGGACAGTGCGTAGTGTTCGAAGAAACGGAAAGGTGGTACTAAAAATGAGTGTGTGGAAGATAAAAAGAACAGTGAGGAAGAAAATATAAGGGTCTATAGGTTCGGTATGCCCTCTTTCCTTTTTAGGCTATTGTTGGGTGTAGATAAGGCTGGCTGGCCGACTGACTGACTGATTTGGTTGAGGGTAACGGAGTCTCGGACTTTCTGTACGCGTGAGTGCAAAACAAAGATATCAGTATTGTGTTATTTTTTTCTCTCTCTTTAACTTGTTTTCTTTACTTGGAGATAAGAATGGATGCATGTCGAGTATGTGCGTTCTATGTACATGTGAACCAAGGTTGTATATGCCCATTCATGTTGTTCGTGTTGAAAAAAAAAGAACTATGAATGCTGATGCGGGATAGAGCCTCTAGCCTTCAAGCAAATATATTGCTTTATTGTGGCGAGGCAACTTTTCCGGCAACAAGGGCAATCAATGCGGCCCCGACGCCGGAACCATCCTTTGCGATACCGATCCTGATCCTCTTCTCCCCCTTGACACCAATCTCGGGAACAGCACGAAGGGCCTCACGAATGTACTCCTCAAAGTTGGGGTAAAATTCGACCAGTGAGCCATCGACACCAATGTCGATTTCATCGCCTTGTTCACTGTCGACGTCGCCGCGTGGGGGTTCAACGCCTGCTTTTTGCTCAGTGGTGGCAGCAGCAGCAGCAGCCGCCGCCGCAGGCTGATTCAGACGGCCAGTGTTGATTACTACACCGGCAATGGCAACCGCAGCGAGACGAGCTGCACGGCGGCCAATCGCCGCGGCGATTTCGCGGACGGCCTCTGCGTCTTCGGCGCTGACAGCGGAAATATCATACTCCTTGTCAAGAGTTTGTCTCAGCATGCGTAGACCAGGGCTGTGGTCACCAGCGCATACACTGAGGAAGCTCGTGTCAATGCCCCACTGTTTCCATATCGGGCTGCCATCATGAATTTGCGTAGTGCTGTGCACATCGTTGGACGACGAGTTTTCGTCGGTGAAGAGCGGGACCTTGGGGTCCTTGATGAGCTTGAGCAGAGCAAGACGCAGAAGCTCACCCAGGAACATGCCTGATACGCGCTTCTCAAACATCTGGATACCGGGGTTCACCGAGTTCTTGTCAAGCTCAATATCGTACGGGTTGTTGGGCAGGGTGCGCAGCGAGTTATCAAACGAACCCCACTCTGTGTTGACAACCATCTCGCCTGTGGACTTGTCATATTCACCCACTTCTTTATCCTGGGTGAGCTTTGAGACCTTGGCTAGCTTCTCTACATACGCTCCGTTGGTACCTGTTCCGAAGATGGCTCCGAGCAAGGTTCCAGTCTTTCCGGGAGAAGTATATGAACGTGCCATGAGAGTTCCAACGGTGTCGTTGACCAAAGCAGCCACCCTGACGGGGAGGTGTAGCGCGTCAATCTCCGCCTGGAGCAGAGCACAGACGTCCTTGCCAATAGCATCTTCAATGTCGAAGCCCTTTGTCCAGCGCATCAACAGGCCCTTGTTGATGCCTATTTGCTGGACTGGGAAGGAAAAGGTGAAGCCCAGGTTGAAGATTTCCTCCTCTTCTGGCTGGCCTGCCTTTCCTTCCCTGCGCCGGAGAGTCCCGGCATAGTGATCCTCGTGGTGGGCTTTCAGGAAAGCTTCAATCTGCTTTGCAAGGAAGGAAAAGAGCTCCTTGGACGTCTTGGCAACCATGAGTTCGCGAGGAATGGCGACTTTGCTCTGGGTAATGGAGAAGGTGGTGTTACCATGGAGCTTGATGGAGCAGACGCGAAAGTTGGTGCCGCCCAAGTCAACAGCCATGTAAAGACCCTGTTTGGTTTAGAGATGGGTTCGTCCACGTGCGCATTGGGAGCGTACCTTTTCCGTGCCATTGGGAACGGCAGTGACGTAGGAGGGGATCTGGCTCATTTCGGTGCCCTTCTTCTCGAGGCCCTCGTCTGCGCGCGTGTCAGCGGGTAGATAGAGCAACACAAGGTGGGCGCATGCATACCCATCTCCCTTATGAATTCCTTGACGGCCTTGTTGACGGCATCGTCACTAAAGTCGAACTCGGCGGCGACCTGCTTGGCCTGGTCGGCGAGAGCCATGCTGCGCTTGTGGTTTCTGTTGAAGGTGCCGACGAACTCGACGTGTTGTTCTGGTTTGGGGCAGACGGGGGGTTCTTGTACGACGAAGGGGTTTCGGAGGGTTATGGGAGGAGCTTGCTCTCTGTCAAGGATGCGGACGATGGCGTGTGGAAGGTGGGGTGCGAAGAAACCGGTAGCAAGCGCTAGCAGGAGAACAAGGACAGTGGCTACCGTGTGGGTCACAAGAGGCTGCCTGGAAGTGTTTTCTGACCGGGCGAAGTGCTGGGGATGCCTTGGGCTCTGCAACGGGCGCGTGGCTTTACTTGGGCTGGACAGCGAGCCGTTCCAGCTGCTGCTGCGGCGGTGGGCGTTGGTGGTACCAATGCTGCTCATGCTTATAGTAGTAGCTGCCCCGCCTTTACCAGCTATGACGAACGACGAGGGGCAGGCGGACTGGGGGGGGGGGGCTTGGGCGCAGGCGTTCAATCGACTTGCGTCAACACCATAGGCCTGCATGCCAACGCGGTGAGATACGAGACAGGATGCCTTCAGTTTCGTGCCATTGGCCGGAAGACGGGACGTCGGTACCAGAGCATCCGTGCCTTTGCGTCGCGACATGGCACGCTACGCTAACCTCTGCCCCCCCCGGAACATGCAGCCGATGGCATCGCATCGTGAAGCCTGCCAATGTCCCTCGGCGCTACTGCCAAGCACCGGACCCTGCTATAGCACTCGACTAGAATGTCACGAAACATTTGTACTTGTTGGCTTGCCAGCACATTCACATTGCTACTTGTGCACCAGCTATCACATGTCAGACAAGGAAACGCTTCGTTTGCTTTTGTGTGTGGGTGTGTGTGCGAGTGTGTGCTGAGCTACCAGGACGCTCCTCCCCCACCAAGAGATAAGAAACAAAGAAAGACAAGAAAGAAAAACATGCCATACTCGCCCAAAGGCAGTCCTTATACACCCAGCAGCTTGCAACAGCTCAAGTCCCTCCAGGCAACAAAAGTAGAAGCGAATGCCACAAAATTACAAGCAGCTAAATCCATGTGATGTATATCGAAAACTCCGTAGTATAGCAAAACAGGTGGCACGACTAGACACCAACCCTCCACTGACAATAAAAAAAACCAATGCAATCAAGGAGAAACATGATTAGTGGGCTGCCTCAACAGGCGACCCGTATGGAAAAGGCCAAAAAAACGACAAGGAGAGGCTGGTGCGGACGCTGCAAACAACAATCTACAAGTATGTACCATAGTGACAAAAGAGAAATCCCGATGACTACAGGCCTGGTAATCGCAAGGCCGGTCCGTTTGCGTCAAATGTGTGCCCCTTTCCCACCCATTTCTATTCGTCATTAAATATCCGCCTTCTGGCAAAGCCTAGGCTCTTCGTAATACTGCCCCGACCCCAGTCGGAACTGCTTGGGTGTGCTTGGTCGGTTCTTTAGTAATGGTTTTGCTGTGCCAATGTGTTTGTAGAAGAAATTGATGAGAAGTGGAAAAAAAAGAGTCGCCTCAAGTGTTTCGCTAGCCGTGGTCCCGGGAAAAGGAAAGGAAAACCATGTGTGTCCATGGAAAAGCAGTAGATGATTTCGCCAGTGTCGCCAGAGCTGGAAAACAGAGCCCATGCAAAATACCAACATGGTCAAAACCAATGGCTACCAAATCAAAGTCGAAACATGATTCCCCGTTACCGAACGCCCACCGGGGGACGCGGACCTAGGCTGCTTTGGCTGCTATGCGCAGAGTTTTCAGAATCTAGAGCCGCGCTACTGTTGGAAGCGCTTCCAGTCAGACTGCGAACTTGGGGACGAGACTTGGGCGGGTACAGATTGCTCACCCCAGCGTGCTGTTCAACATGTTGTGGTACTCCTGGTTGTGCCATACCGGGAGGCGAGGGTCTTCCATTTGGTGGCATGCCGTTGTGCGCATACCCGTTAGGTGGTGAGGGTCGGCCGCCAGGCCTAGGGCCGGGACTGAGGGGGTTACCTGGTGACTGGCTCATTCTTCGACTGTTTGGGTTAGGATAGGCACCATAACCGGCGCCGCCTGAAATATCGTCAAGACGGGCTGATGTGAGCGAGTTAGTTCTCGATTGTGCACCTATGGCACCGCGATCGACATGGCCGTATCGGTCAGACGAGTAGCCCATGAGTGGGTTGTTCATAATCGAGTCATGAAGGCCCGGAACGTCCGCCATCAGCCGAGCACTACTCCGATTCTTCTTTCCACCGGAACGCGAAAAGGGATTTCTTGGGGCTCTGTTGGGTAAAGGTCCGAAGCCTGCACCCTCGGGGTTCTGGCGAATCTGCTTGGCACTGGGCGCTGAGCGGTTGCGGCGTGACGTGACGCTCATCATATCGAAATTGTCCGGGTCAATCATTGGTCGGCCTCCCATGGGATCGAAGAAGTCCTCACCATCGTCATCGTCGTCGTCAAAACCTGCCATGGAAGGAGGCGCTGGAGGCCTTCCTCGACCCATACCAGGACCAGGACCCATACCGGGACCCATTGGTCCCATGGGGCCACCGCGACCCATGGGGCCTCCAGGACCGCCAGGTCCACGTCGCATACTCATCTCCTGCTCTCGAATCTGCAGCTCCCGCTGTCTCAGCATCAGTTCCCGTTCTCGAAGTGACATGTTGGACGCGTTGCCTGCGCTCTCATAAGGACCGCCGTTGGCACCGTCGGACACCATGTCATCGTAGAGCATAAGATGTGAAAACTCTTCGAGATCTCCCCCTCCTTCAATTGAAGGACGTCGCTGCCCGTTTGGGGGGCCATTCATCCTTGGAGGGTAGCCATTGGGGCCAGGAGGGGGTCCACGACGCGCCATGGGAGGACCACCGTTGACAGAAGGAGCACGACTGCCTGGACGAGGACCGCCCTTGATTGGACCGTTTCCGTTCATCATGGCGCCTTGCGAAGGGGGTCCTCGCGGCATGGGAGCTGAAGACATTCTTGGTGGTGGCTGCATGCCGTTTTGGGATGGCTGGATGGGGGCAACAGCGGGCGCTGCTGGGCGGTTTCGGTTCGCAATGTTAATATGATGGAGCGTCGCATACAACGTTTCGATTCGCGGCACAGCAACGCCAGCTTCTTGTGCAAGCTTCAAAGGGGCACCAAGATATGTCTCAATCTCCATGGGCCGCTTGGCCTCGAAATCGAGCCACATGGTGCTGTTGTGCTCTTGGGGGCGAATCATGTCCTGGTACGTCTTTTCGCGGAAGTCGGCCGGAAAAGAGCAATCGGAGGCTTTTGCCAGCGCGAGCATCTCGTCCAGCACGCCATTGACCAAAGGTCGCACGCCAACCTTTTCTAGCAATTCGGCGTGGTTGGGTGTTTCGAACAAGACACTGGCGGGATGGAATGCGATTGGGCTGCACAGCGTTAGTCAATGTATGAGCGTGCAACATGAGGAATGCGAAACTCACCCTATCATGCGCTCGTACTGTTGTTGTCGGATGTTTTGGGATACCTTGCAGTCGACCTGTCCAGAGCTCAAAGTCATGGCAAGAGCCTCGGCCATGTCCGACTGGATCTGCGGGGGAATGTTTGCGTTTTTGTTGGCGGGACCAACCCAGATGTTTGTTGCACCCTTGTGCTCGAACTCGCTAGCTCCAAGCTGCGAAATCTCTGCTCCTGATACCAATGAAAGCACGACATTTGTGGGGAAGCGTTGCTCAAGATATGATTCGACACCCAGGCTATGTGTTGTGTTCATAAGGATGCACGTGTGTTGAGGCGAGACGACGGATTCGATGATGTTGGCAATATCGTATACATCGGGGAGGGCCTTGACGCAGAGAAGCACGTAGTCGAAAGGCTGCTTGGAAGCATGGGCGGCATCTTCCGGAGTGCGGACGACTAGTGGATGGCGTTAGCTGCGTTCTAGAGTGTCGAGAGATTGTCCAAGGGACATACCAGCATATGGCTTAAACCGCTCATTACCGTAAAGCGCTGATCTATGACGTGTGAGCGAGCGAGTCAGGGGGAGGCGGGAGGCGGCAGCTCGTAGACTGAGATACGCACTTGAAGGAGATGCCATATTGAGCGACGCTGTCGTATCCCGACTTCCAGACAAGGGTAACGTCGCAGGCGTTTGTGGCTTGCAGCCGCCATGACAAGAAGGCCGATACGGCGTTGCCGCCCACTGAGGAGTGTCAGCAGTTGTCAATTGAATCAGTGTGCCGAGTCGAAGGAGGTGCAGGCGAAATAAGAGGAGATGTTGGGATTTGAACAACACAGGCAGAGGATACATGCACGTGTTTTTGTGGTAGGTGGGTGTGCAAGGGACAATATGGAAGGACCGGTAATGGTGCGACGGCCGTGGAGTGATGACGCACCTGAGAGAATGCGTAAGCGCGGAACAGCTGGAGCCATATCGGTGTGGATATGGGGGGGTTGGACTGCGAGGAAGGGAGGAGAACAGCTCGGGCTGCAGAGGGTGAAGAGGGAGCCAAAAAGTTGGCGATTGGGGCCGGGCTTGGGTGGATCGCGATGGCGGTGCAAAGACCCGGGCGGCGGCAGCGGAGGGAATTATCGATTAAGATGGTAAGGAAAACGAGCGTGCAGAGGTCGGCGAGAGACGAATGACTGAAGAGATTCGGGGTGGTTCATAAGAGAGGGAGGGATGAATGGGGGGTTGGGGAGAGAGAGAGAGAGAGCGAGCAGGCAAGCAACGGCGCAGGCTGAGGCAGGACGAGAGGGTAAGTTGGTGGGTCGTGACGGTGTGGTCGGGGCGGAGGATTGGGAAGCTGCCGCTACTGCAATGGCGAGGGCGTAGAGAAGGGGGGGAGGCTCGGCTTCACGCAATGAGCGCGCAACAGGCTCTCTGGCAAAAGCGAGCGGGAGCGAGCAACAAGAAATGCAAAGCAGAGGGAGTGGAGCAAGGGAAGAGGTTTGTATGATGGGCAGCAGCGGAGCAGTGGGCGGACGAAGAAGCGCACTGAGAGGCTAGAGGTCAGCAAGGGCTGATGCACTGCCAGGCCCGCGAGCATTGCTTGATATCCCGCACACAGGCTCTACTGGGAGCCGCTAGGATGCTTTGGGCGACAGGCCTGGCACTTATCGCAGTGGCCGCCAGGCGCATGGCTTATTTATTATGGACGGGGCCGTGCTGTGTATCGTCATTGTTTTTGCTTGATCAAAAAAAGGGTACATGCGCTGCCGTGGCGCCATGTCTTGCGACGGCGGCGGTAACAGCAGCGAGGATGTGCAGACGGGGAGTGCTTGGTCAAGTGCGAGTCTGCGACGGGTGAGGTGAGTGGGAGACGGACACGGATGCATGTGGGAGGGAACGGGCGAGGGACGGAAGAACGGAGGCAGAGGGCATGCATGGTGGAAGGATGGGGAGCGGTAGCGGTAGCAGCAGCAGCAGCAGCAGCAGCAGCAACAGCAGCAGCAACGCCGCATCAACAGGGCCAACAACCGCAGCCAACAAGCAAGGCCAACAAGCCAACAATAGCCAGGCTGCAGTGGATCGGCGCCGAACTGTGGACTGCCAGCATGCTTGCGCGGCACCCCGACCGCGACTAACTAGCCATGAGCATGGAGATCCGCTTCTCCCTGTGGGCCGCCCACACACCACACCACAGGGAGATCTGAGGCGCCATTACCGGACCTGCACGTCGGGCGTGGTACCCAACGACTACTGCCTGGACGGGCGAGGATGCACATGGGCCGGTGGATGTTTGTGTATAAATATATATAGTTATACTAGTTACTTACATGTATGTATCGGTGGATGTGGAGCAGCAGCCTGACACGAGCACGTCTTGTGTAGTGTCGCAGTGCTCGCAGTCTGCTTCTGCCTACTTGTTGGCCAGATGCTCGTACGTACATACATACATGAATCAATACATACGGTGCGCCCGTAGACACTTGGGTACGTTTTGATTTCACGTCCCCCCCGGCGTCAGCACCTAGCCGCAGCTAAGCAGGCCGGCGTGCAAGAGCTCCGTGCGTCTGACGTCGACGTTCGCGCTGCGTGGGCCAAGACGTCCCGTCCCAACGCCCATTGTGCCTCCGGCCAACTGGCGCCGTGCAACCGCTGTCAAGGCCCCTCGTCTCCCAACGGTTGCCAGCCGTCACAGTCGCAGCACTCGCTCGTCGCTCGGAAAAGGGGCCCAGCGCCAGGAGCCAGCAGCCAGCAGCCAGCAGAGGGCCCTGGATATTGATTCCCGTCCTGCCCTTGCTTGCTTACCCACCGCGGACACTGCGGACCTTCATAACCGCCGCGCCGCCGCCACTTATCATGCCAGTCGCTTGCTTGTACACCGTCGACACCGACACCGACGCTGGCACAGGCATGCGCACTGCACTGCGCTGCGCTGCACTGCACTCACAGCACCACGACGCACGGCTCCCATGGCTTCCCGCAGCCGAGCCGCGCCTGCATCTGCAAAATCATACCAGAACCACGACTGCGGCGGTCGGGGCCCCTGGTGCCAGCACACACTCGCTCTCGACAATACTTACTTTCCGCCTGCCACTTACTCGACCTTGGGACTCCCGCCGCTGATAAGCTGCAGCGATCGGCCTGCCGTGCCCCAGCATGTGCCTTTTTGCCATGGCCCATGTTGCCAAGCCCTGCCGCAACCCTCGCCTCAACCATCCACTGCTTGCCACTTACTCTACCTCTGCTCTGCTGCATGTGCCTCCGACCCTCTGCCTCGCCCGTGTGCCTCTGTGGTGCGCAATGTCGCCTACACGCCCATCGCCTCCAGGCCTTGCACCAAGGCCCACTCCACTGCCGTCATCGACATCTCGCTTGAGGAGGGAGGGGTGCTGGTGCTGGTGCTGGTGCTGGTGCTGGTGCTTGTCCTTGTGGCTAGGTAGGAAGGAGGAGCCTTTGCTCTTTCCCTCTAGACCGAGTCTGGCCGCCCCACTGCCCGATCCAGCTCGACTAGTAGAGTACGCAGTAAGTACAACTCCCTGCCGGGCTGCAGGGCTGCAGGGCTGCGACACCAACAGCAGCAGCAGCAACAACAACAACAACAACAACAACAACATCGCCTGCTCTGATCCTTGAACAACGGCTATCCGCGCGTCGACTACTTTTATTACACCCTGCGGGGGGTGCCAGCGCTCGTATTCGTATCCACCCCGTAGCCGAGACAAGCCAAAAGTGCAGAGGAAACAAGTTATACCACCCGGTCTAGCAGCACGCCTCCCGCCCCCAACGCGACTCATCCGATACACTAGAGTACTTGCAACTGCGAAACCAAATGTCGTCCATCGAACGGCTGTTTGCCCGCCGCCGCTGCCTGCTATAGCTCCCTCCCCTATTGCACAGGGACCCAGGCTGATATCATCTTTGCAAGGCCCCCACAGCAATTACCTACTTTGCGCGCTAATGCGTGAACGCCATCGCCCACCATGGCAAAGGAAATGAGCACTGCAATCTCGGAATAGAAACCTGTACGTTGCCCATCACTGCACATCCTCTTTTGAATCGCGTCCCAAAAGTCGACCGGTGGCGCACGAGTGCCACGTCGGCTTGCCAAGCTCCCATCCTCACCTTTTATCCCATCCACTGCATAATTGAAACATGACAAGCTGCCATTTTCCTTGATTCCACCACCTCCTCCCCCTCCCCCTCCCCTGGCCTCGCCTTCCACGATAGCTGTTTTGCTTACCCATGCTTGTCGCTCTTCTGCTGTGCCTGTGTTCCTTTGCCTAGCCCGTTTCCGGTGCCCCTGCCTACCTTTGCTCGGCGGAGGCGGCTGCCACCCCCACCACCAAGCGAGTCAACTTTTCGCTCTTGTCTTGTTCCTGACAGGTGGCGGCGGCACCAACAACCGCCCGGCAATGCTGAACGTGGCTGCCGGACAAGGGCCATGCCCAAATGTGCGCGCACGCGTCGGTGTCGGTACAGCAAAGTGGGTATTCTTCCGTCGTCCGGTGTAGATCCTGCACACATCATTGCGCCGGCTCTTTTATTTTGCAAATAGAAAGAGGAAAGAAGAAGAAAAAAACCTGCATTTCGATATAGGCAGCAAAGCAGACCCCCCCCCCCCCCCACTCCACTCTCCCCAATTTTAGGGTGGAGATTCAGGCCCATCGCATCACCCATGTACATATTCCTCCGAGTAGTAGTCCGTTCGTTCGGTCGGCCGTTTTACAAACACGCCATATTGACGTATTAGAAAGAATCCCTTTCACAAAAACTAATCCACATAATCCACACTCACCAGAAACAGGGACCAAACAAATTTCTCTCTCTCACCTCTCTTTTCCCCGCAATCTTCTCATATTCATACTCTCTTTCCCCTTGTCCGAATTCTCACGTCCGAACCCAACTCACCGGCCTTAATATATCGATTCCTCATCCCCCCACCCTCCTCCCCGTTCCCCTCTTCCCGCTTGCAATCCTCACCCTACCATCCCATAACTACACCCCTCCCCCTCCATCTCCCTAAACCCTGTTTTGCAAACGAACGCGCGCGCGCACGCGCAAACGCTGAAGACAAGAATGATACCTTTCCCTATCTCCCCGGAGGGGCGCGGGAGCGGGAGCGGGTTTTCCAATATTGTCTATTGAAAATGGAATTACCATCATTATCATAAAACTATAAACTCTGTCTCTTTCCTTTCCCACCCTTTCCCTCCGGGGGGGGGGNGGGGGGGGGAGGAGAGGAGAAGGGGATCTCGCTTACTTTTCACGCTAAGCATGCTGACCTCCAACCCCCTTCCCCCCCTACCCTACCCTTAACTAAACTTTATAGCCTCCCTCTCTCTCTCGTTCTGTCCTCAAGTTTAAACCCCCCTTTGACCCATGGTCAAATCTCTCTCCCCTTCTTTAGTCTTCGCGTTAAAAATACAAAAAATTTGGGGGTAGTTACCTATCAGTTTTTATTGTTTTTCGAATCAACTTTTCGGGCAACATAGAGACGCGGAATGCGTCGATGGAAATGTGTGTTTCAACTGAAAGGGGGGGAGAAATATTAATCAACATGGTCATTTCCATGCCCTTCCGCCGCTGACGTCTTCTTCTTCTTCTTCTTCTGCAGCTGAGCTGAGCTTGGTTTGCTGAGCCCCATGTTGGCATATAATGACTTAAACCACCGTGTGTGTGTGTGTCTCTTGTGGTTCTGCTAATACATAGACTTTTCTTGTGACGTGCGCCACCTTTTTTTTAGGGGCGGGAGGGATGATCGTTCGTGATTGTCGTGTGGCCTATTATCGCTTTCCTTTGTTCGTAGAAATAAAGCCAAGTTTGAATAACTAGGCCGCGGAATATACAACTTGTTTTCTTTTTTGCTGTTATATGTGTTATGCGATTATACATGGAATAATAGGTTGTTGTCTTCGTTTGACTCTGGATAGAACCGTTTCATTCCCCCCTTCCCCCCCCCCCCCTTTTTTTTTTAGTACTATGCTCTCCTGCTGGCGAGATGACGTTACTTCGCTCTACCAGCCACACGATAGTACTTCTCGTAAAAAAAGGTAAATGGGCGACAAGGACGACAAGGACGACAAGGAGCACCGTAATGCAACTCTTACAAATAAAAACATGCTGCTCTTGCCCAATCAATCCACCTACAGGCATGTCACGTCAATCACACAGACAATCACACACCAATCACCCGCATACCATCAGTCCACATCAGGAAGAGCTCATGCATGTCAATTTCTGCCTCTTTCCTATCTCTCTCACTTCTGCGTCTCAAGCCACAAAGGGCTACGATCATCATCCACTCAACCACTAACAAGATACTCAATCACATGTCACGCAAACATATACCGCTCGCTAAGTTGCTCTCCTTTTTGCCTCCAAAAACCTGTCCTGCCTATCACTCAAGACCCGTCCCGGACATAACGGCTCGTTTTTTTCCCCAAAGGACTAGACAATAAAACATATATTGTTTTTTTTCTTTCTTGCAAACTTTCAATCGCTTGGGTCAGAGTGAACAGAAGAAAAGAAAGATAAATAGCTTAGTTGTCCATGTAAGTGGCAGAGTTGACTCCATCCTCGGGGAACTCGGGGAGTTCGACCTGGAATCGCTCCTCAATCGACTTGAGAACCGCCTCGTCATCGGGGCTGCTCACGAATGAGATACTCAGACCCTTGGTTCCGAAACGTCCCGCACGACCGACACGGTGCAGGTATGCATCCGCCTTGTCGGGCATGTCGTAGTTGATCGCTACGTTGATGCGCTCAACATCGATACCACGTCCGAAGATATCCGTCGACACACAGATACGTGTCTGGAACTCCTTGAACTCCTTGTAGCGCTTGATACTATAACATCATCAGTACTGGCCAAAATCTTGCTCGAATAATTCAAACTTACCGCTCTTCTTGGCTAATGCCAGAGTGCACAGCAGTGCTGGGGAAGTTGCACTCGCGCAGAAGCTTGTCAAGCTCAGAGCAGCGCAGAGTGGAACGAACAAAGATAATGACCTGGTTGAACTCCAGATTGTCAAGAAGGTCGTTCAGCTTGCGGTTCTTTTCCTTCTCATCAAGCTTCACGTAGTACTGCTGAAGACCGTGCAGCGTCAACTTCTTCTCGTCGTCGACGTAGATCTCAAGCGGGTTCTGCATGAACTTCTTGCAAACAACACGCACGTCCTTGTTCAGCGTAGCTGAAAACATCATCACCTGCTTGTGCTGGGGAGTGGCACGGAAAATGGACTGGACATCGTTGCGCATGTCTAGAGGAAGTTAGCAGGCATAATGTGGACAAAGACAAAGTTACTAACCAGGTTGGTCAAGCATCTTGTCGCACTCGTCCAGGACAAAGTGCTTCAGATTGGCAAGACGGAGGTGCTTGTCGCGAACAAGGGCGTTGATGCGACCGGGTGTTCCGACAATGATGTGGGGGTGCGTGTCCTTGTTGCTAAGGAGCTCAATGTCCTTCTGTACGGGGGTTCCTCCGTAGAAGACACCGACCTTGACGTCGGGCAGGAACTTGGCAAAACGGTTGTACTCGTTGCGGATCTGGTAGGCCAGCTCACGGGTGTGGCACATGACTAGAATGGTGGCAACACCAGGCTCGGGCTTCTCGTCCATCTGTTGGAGGGTTGCGAGAACGAAGACGGCAGTCTTTCCGAGACCAGACTTGGCCTGACAAAGGACATCGTTTCCGAGGATGGCCTGGGGGATGGTAACTTGCTGGACTGTAGGGCACAAAGTATGTCAGAATAAGTCTAAAGCGGTCGAAACGAAGCGTAGGGATCGAAGCGTCCATCCATCTTGTGTAGTCGAGATCCTCCATCTAGCGCGCGTGCCAGTCTGTCTATCCTCCCAATATCCCATGAGCGCCCCCTCTTATGCATCCACCGCATGCGCTCCTCCACTGAAACCAGTCCCTGAGGACCATTGAAGCGGGCCGTCCAGGCACCGCTAGGCTTCTTGATGCATGTACCGGTGCAAACACATGTATAATGTGTGTCGAGGCTCGTACGTAGCGGAAGGCGCTGGGTCCCTCGCCACTTCTCTCGCGTATAGACAGACCATGGCCGCTTTCATTTTTTTTTGACAGACATGGCTCGTTTCGTAGATGGACAGACGCTTGTAGGTGGATAAGGCTGAGGGGAAATGATTAGACTAACCCTCGGAAGGATGTTCGAAGCCACAGTCGGTAATTGCTCGTACGAGCTCGTCCTTGAGCAGGAAGTCGCGGAAACCGGTAGAATGGATGCCGACATAGCTGCCCTTCTTGTCGCCAGCAGCATCACCAGCGGCGAGACCGCCCTTGGCCGCAGCCGCACCGCCGTTAGCGGGCGCCTCGGTGGGCTGAATCTCCTCGTCGGAGTAGTCAATGAGATCCTCCTCGTGAGACATGATGGATTATGTGTTGGTAACTGAAGGTTGGGTGTAGGGTAGAGTTGATGATTTGCGCGTGTCGCAAAGCAAGGCTGATGATGGGACAAAGCCGGGTGGGATAGTGTGCCGGTAAGCTTAGTATTATACGAAGGAACAACGAGAACAAGGAGCTCGGGTAATTGTTTGAAGGGGTGACAGCCACGCGAGGTCGACGTCGAGGGCGATTGTCGGTGAGGTTAGATGGTGGTGACGGTGGAGAAGAGCGGTCGCTGAGCGCTCATGTTAGGCAAAAAGCTTGGGACACCTGGCTGGGCGCGCCACTAAGCCACAAACGGACGGCTCAGAAATCATAATCCAGCAACCCTCTTGTCTTTCATTGTTGGCCAATGAGGTAACAATTAGGCGCACGCACGTGGGCAAACAAACACATGGAATGCGAGTAAAATAACGGCCCGAGTCACTGCATCGTTTGCAAGCAGCCAACACATCCTTCGTACTTTGCTTGCTAGACAATCAAGATAGCATCATGAGCAAAGTCAAAGCCCCGAAAGCAAAAGGCATTCCGAACAAGCACCTGCACGCACGTTCATCTTTTCTCTACCAAGCTGCCACGTACCTGACCTTGCAAACGGCCGAGGTCACTGAGACGCCACGAGGCAAACACCCAACCCCCAAGTCGCCAAACAGTCTCTCACTTGCACTCTCACTCAGCTCCGACCTCCAGCAAGTCTCGCGAAAAGGCCAACTACGTCTTGCTGTTTCTCTAAAACGGACACTGTGCAAAAGCTGTAACAGCATCCTTGTTCCCGGGCGCACTGCAACGCACAGGATTGAGAATGCAAGCAAAGGTGGCAAGAAGCCTTGGGCTGATGTGCTGGTTATAACATGCGGTGTGTGTGCCGGCCAGAAACGGTTTCCAGTCGGCGCGGCACCAAAGGTGAAGAAGGGGAAGAGAGAAATGGCGGGTGCGGAGGAGACGCCGACGACTGGGGAGGATAAGCCGGTGCTTACGGGGACGGAATGAGTGTGGACTGATATTTGCCAGGATGAATTTATTTCACCTCAGCATGATTTCGCTACTTTGCCACTACCTACTGTCAAAGACCTTACTCTGTACGCGGCCACCGTCTTATTACTCGACTTGAATTTCCACACGTCACTTAGGCCAACAGTCGCTTTCACCACCGTACAACACCATTATTATACACAGAAATCGTGACGTCTACATACGCACTTCACGATCATCTAGCCAAAATCGTACCACGACCAAAATGTCTGGCGTACAATTTGGACAAGACGGCGGGCGTCCAGCTCAAAGTCGATAGAGCAAGCTATGATCACTATGCACCATCTCGCACTCATGAGCTCTTTTACGACTATACTCGATACGGTACATAGCACACTGCCCATCGATACAAGCGTATGGAAATCATGCGACAATCAGCTACAGCAAGAGACCAAAGACTGATAGTGGCCCACAGCCCTGGTTCAAATTCCAAAACACAGCTACATATCAAGATATCCAATGGAATCATATCCTCACAAGTACCCAGTAATCTAACGAAGAAACTAAGCTTCGCCTGAGATATCTATTTTCTCTTTTCGCCGCTCAGACCGTCTCAATATACCTCCGGACCTCCCAATCGGTCACTGCTTCGTCCCAAAGCCTGATCTCGTGCTGTCTTGTGCCGCCAAAGTGGTTGACAAACTGGTCTCCAAACACTTCCCTAGCAACACTCTCCTTACGCATAAAGCGCTCTGTTGCCTCCTTCAGGCTCTTGGCTAATCTCTCGCCTTTGTCAGACTTACTACCAACGTCCTCGCCCTTTCCAAGGGGCGGTATGCTGATTTCCATCTTCTTCTCGATACCTCGCCAGCCAAGTGCCAAAATGGCGGCAAGTACAAAATGAGGGTTCGTGTCTGCACCAGGTACGCGGACTTCAAACCGAGTGGCTTTCGGGGAGGAGGTAGGGGGTGAGATGAGGCGGATGGAGGCGGCGCGGTGCTCAAGACCCCATGATACAGTGACGGGTGCCCAGAAATTCTCAACTAACCTCTTATAACTGTTGACGTTAGGCGCGAGGATGGGCATAATGTCTGGAAGACCGTCGATGAGGCCTGCAAGGAAATGCCGGCCCAGGTCTGATAGATATCGGATGTCTGAGTAGGGCGCATTCTTGTCCTCTTCTTCGCGGTAGAACAAGTTCTTGCCATCGGCGTCTACAATTGACACGTGCATATGCCCGCTGTTACCTGGAAGGCCTTCGCGGGGTTTTGCCATGAAGCATGGTGTTATTCCATACTTGGACCCGAGAGACTTAACAACGAGCTTGAAAAGGGAAGCCTTGTCTGCCATTCTCTCGATTGAGCCAAACTCAAGGGCCTAGGGCGTATTAGTTATGAACTCCATATACCAAAGTGGAGCAGTTATCGCTTACAGCTTCAAAGACTCCAGGACCTGACTCGGTATGCCATCCCTCAATACCACAGTCGAACTCGGCGCAGGTGTTGAAGATACTATAGTAGTAGTCTTGGTTGTGGACCGGCCGGGTGATGCTGTACCCGAACATGCCTTCTGTAAGGCTGGGCAGGGCGTCGACTGGATTGTTGCGCAAAAATGAAGCTGTACTCGAAGTATTCTTTTCTGATCCATCGTGGCTTTGAGGTGCGCGGAATTGGTAGAATTCGTACTCGGCTGGGCAAAACACATCAGCTTCATTAACGACGTGCAGTATCCGATCTTCCTCTGGCATGCGACTCACCTCCAGCCATGGCACCATAGCCTTTGTCCCTGAGCTTGTCGACAGTACGTTTTAACAGGCTTCTTGGGCATGCGCTTAGAGTGTCTTTGGTGTCGGGATCGTAAAAACTGATGAGGAAGAAAGGTACATTGTTCTCCCACGGTATCCTCCGAAACGATGTGAGATCCGGTATGGCGATCAAGTCACGGTAGCCGTTCTCCTTGTTGGATATGGCCAGCTCTTTAAAGTATGTCTGATCGTGCATGTCCCAGCCGAAAATGACACTGCAGAAGCCGAAGCCTTCGTTGGCAATGCTGAGGAATTTCTTCTTGGCCATGAGCTTTCCACGTAGAATGCCATCAACGTCAATACCCGCGACCTTGACCGACAAGTCATTTTTGAGAAGCTCAGGCAACTGCTCGGCCGTCAAGTTGGAGGGGTCAAAGTCGGCGGGCATGATGTCGAGGGGCGAGACAGAGAGGACCAGGTGTTGAGAGTCGGTGTGAGCGAGAAGGAGGGTTGACGGACGGTCAGCGGAAGAAAATACGAGCGCCGGCGCAATCAGGTTTTCAAGCAGGCACGCGACGTGAGGAAGGGCTTGATGCAGCCAAAGGCGATCCGGGTGCGATAGAGCTTGGGCCAATGAGGGGTGATGATGCGATGCGGGCTGGCGACATCATGGATTCGGCGTGCAGACGCACAACTACTACTATATATTGCATTTTCCGCCCTTCTCCTATCTTTCCTCCTCCTGCACGACGTCCCTATCCAATACCCAATGCGACAAGATAGCTCCCCATGCCGCTCCCGTGATAAGCCGCGAGACGCCAGACTTACCACACAGGGCTGCGCGTCACGTCCGAATGGCGGGGCAACCCACTCTCATGTCACGTAGAATGGCCGTCCGGAACAAGGGTGCAGGTATGCTCAAGCCATTCAAGCAAGGCTGCCCTAGTGAAGCTGTCCACCGCTCCAACAAAGCCCGCCCAGCCATGACAGCAGCAAACGCGTTCTAATAGTCCTTATCGTCGACTATCAATGCCCTGGGCCGATTCTCGGACGCGTGACTGTCTGAATGACCGGTTCACTGCCCGTGATTACCCGTCCACTATCTCCCCTCCCTCGTCTCCTTGAAGCCGCCGACACTCTCATACGCCAGTGCATACTCCAACCTCCAATTTAAAGGTAAGTGCCGAGTCGTCGTCCCTGTTGCCCGTCGGCTGGCATACTTGCCCCATTCACGATGCAGTGTGCTGTTCATATGACGCTTTGTCTAGTTTATATTAGTCATATTTGACAGCTTGACACAAAACTTTGCCTTGCCCGCATCAACCATTGACACCATTGCAGCCTCTTTGCTACACCCAGTACCTGAAAAAGCGTCGAGTCGAGAAATTCAACATGGGCCGTCTGGAGAACAAGAACTGCATCATTACCGGAGGCGCTGGGTAAGCAAGCATCTTCCATTTGCATATGCCACGATCCCCATCAATATCCTCAATTCTTCCTTCGTATCGGGTTTATGGCGCTACTGAGTTCTATTTTTCCTACTTGTTTTGCTTGCTGGACGACACATTGCATTCATTACCATGCAATGGCGCATGGTCGCAACGCATACATCAGCCCACATCCAAAATTACATACATACTGACGATTTGCAGTGGAATTGGTCTTGAGACGGGCATTCTTTTTGCTAGGGAGGGCGCCAATGTCCTTCTCTCTGATATTTCCGGCCCGGCCTTGGAAAAGGCTGCTGCCAAGCTGAAAGAGGTGGTTCCAGAGGCCAAGAAAGTTGAGACCAAGGTCAGCGATGTATCCAAAGAAGCCGATGTCCAGGCTATGATTGAGCACGTGGATTCATGGGGTGGCGTAGATGTCCTGTTCAACAACGCAGGTATCATGCACGCCAACGACGACGATGCTGTCAACACGCCTGAGAAGATCTGGGACTTGACCCAAGCCATCAACGTAAAGGGCGTATGGTTTGGTTGCAAGCACGCAGTCAACAGCTTCAGAAAGCACGGCAAGAAGAAGACGAGCGTCATCAACACCGCCAGTGTGGTTGCATTGGTGGGCAGCGCAACACCACAGCTCGCATACACAGCAAGCAAGGGCGCTGTTTTGGCCATGACCAGGGAACTGGCAATGGTCCACGCACGTGAGGGCTTCAGGTTCAACTCGCTGTGCCCAGCACCATTGAAGTAAGCTTCCCCATGTGCCATGTTGGGTGTTTGAAGTGCTAACCAACGCAGCACACCTCTCCTTCAAGACTGGCTCGGTGACGACAAAGAGAAGCGTCACCGTCGCGAAGTCCACTTCCCCACAGGCCGTTTTGGCGAGGCAATTGAGCAGGCTCAAGGTGTCCTATTCCTTGCCAGCGACGAGAGCAGCTTTGTTAACGGAACTGACTTTGTCATTGACGGTGGCATGACCAAGTGCTACACCACGCCTACTGGGCCTCCCCTGGATGCGCCCAAGAACAACGCAAAATAAGTGCGGATTGGGCGTTGTGAATGAAAGCGACTGTCAGAGTGCGAGGAAGCACATAGGCAGTCATGTATAGCAATGATAAATAACGGATGAATGATACCAATACATATACCAAGGGTTAAGACGAGCTTTGTATTGATTGAAACGACGTGTGAAGTCATGGTTTCGAATCGGTTGCAGATGACCACGCGTTTTAGCGCCAATCCCAAGCTTTGTGCCAGGGTCCAACGTTGCATTTTCCTGAAGCGACATACGCGACTTTTGGCCGCATGCGCGCCAGCCTGCCAGCATGGATCGTATTACCGCACGCGTTGACAATGACTTCAATGTTGTTTTGTATGGCACGCTCTGGATAGCTGCCCTTTCTTTCATCTGGCTCACGTGCCGTGCGGATCCAGAAGAGCCGGTCAAATACACCGTCGAAACACCCCAGGAGGCCGAGAAGGGATGGAAGGGGAAAGTGCTTGATGAGCCTGGATTGAAGGTACAGAAAATCGGCACAAAACTTGCAAATGCAAACTGACTTGTTCTAGATTTCTGGCTCTTCGCTAATCCAATGCTACGCCCCCGCAACTGGTGAAGCCCTCGGGCGCATCAACCCCTCCACCGCAGACGGTATCGACCGTGCAATCGCCAAAGCCAAAGACGCCCAGGTGAAATGGGCACAGACAAGCTTTCGCCAGCGCCGCAAGGTACTGCGTACAATGCTCCAGTTTATTCTCGAAAACCAAGAAGCTATTGCAAGGGTTGCCTGCCTCGACTCCGGCAAGACTATGGTGGATGCCAGTTTGGGTGAGATACTCGTGACTGTGGAGAAGCTGAGGTGGACAATCAAGCATGGAGAGAACAGTCTGAAGTCTGAGAAGAGGGACACAAACTTCCTCATGATGTACAAGTGGAATGAAGTTGTCTACGAACCGCTGGGTGTCGTCGCGGCTTGCGTGAGCTGGAAGTGAGTATCGCCTGACCGTTAATAGTGAAGCATTCCAGTTAACATGGGTCTAGCTACCCTTTTCACAACCTCATCAGCCCCGTCATAGCCTCCATTTTCGCCGGCAACGCCGTCATTGTCAAAGGCTCTGAAGCTACCGCCTGGTCGTCCTCATACTTTGCTTCCATTGCTACCCGTGCTTTGCAAGCGTGTGGTCACTCGCCTGATATTGTGCAATCCGTTGTCTGCTGGCCTGACGTCGCTGACCACCTCACCTCGCATCCATCAATCTCGCATATAACATTCATTGGCTCACGCCCAGTGGCACATCACGTCTGTGCCTCGGCCGCAAAGGCGCTCACACCAGTGTGTGTCGAACTCGGGGGAAAAGACCCGGCCATTGTTCTCGACGACATATCAAACAGCGATTTTAAGCGCATCGCCAGCATCCTCATGCGAGGCACCTTCCAGTCTGCAGGCCAGAACTGTATCGGAATCGAGCGCGTCATTGCACTTCCAAAGGTGTATAATCGCCTCATCGAGTACCTCACACCGAAGATTCGTGCCCTACGTCCTGGCTCCATATTGCACACTTCTTCTGACGTGCCAATTGACATTGGCGCTTCCATCTCCGATGCCGGTTACTCCAAGCTTGAAGATCTCATTCAAGATGCCGTCAACAACGGTGCTCGCGTCCTGGCAGGCGGAAAGCGTCATACTCACCCAGAGTTCCCTAAAGGCCATTACTTTAGTCCTACCTTCATAGTCGACGTCACACCCAGCATGAAAATCGCCCAGACGGAGCTCTTTGCACCGGTTTTCCTGCTCATGCGCGCCGAATCCGTCACAGACGCCATTTCCATTGCAAATAGTACCTCGTACGCTCTCGGTTCCTCGGTTTTTGGCTCTTCCAATCGCGACCTCGAGCTTGTCGTGCGCTCCCTGCACGCCGGAATGGTCTCTGTAAACGACTTTGCCGTCTACTACATGGTGCAGATGCCATTTGGCGGCACAAAGGGCAGTGGCTATGGTCGTTTCGCAGGAAAAGAAGGACTGAGGAGTCTATGCAATCAAAAGAGTATTACAAGGGATCGCTGGGCATGGGCAGGGATCAAGACAGGGATTCCGCCTCCGATGGATATTCCACTGCAGGGCGAGGGTGCGGGGGTCAAGGCGTGGAATATGGCGCAGGGAATTGTGTGGTTGGGGTATGGAAACTTGAGGGGCAAGGTCAGAGGGTTGAAGGGGGTTCTGGGGCTGTAGAAGGGAGTTGCGTCTTATTGACAATGCCATGACATCTGCTTCATATATTTCAACGAGTATACCTAATTTCAACTCTTGAAGGGAAGGATATGGTGTCGCGGGGCTGGTGGGGTCGGTCCTGGCCCTGGGCTTGTTGCACTATAACTTCAGGTAACGGGCGGTGAGGAGAGAGGGCCAAGTGTATGATATCTAGGGTTGTACAATGCGAGCTAAGGCTATTGATTTTCTACTTTTGAGATACAGCAAACCAAGCTGGTGACCTGACGGGCGGGTTATGACTGTGGTTGCCAATGGATGCCAAGCCATTGACCACTTTACGCGTCGACGCGTCTGCCCAGTGCACGCTGCGCCAACTTTTACATTCCTACCAACAATCTCACAAACCACAATCACCCAATGGCGCTTTTAGTAGACAAACATCGGCCGCGTAACCTTGAAGCGCTCAGCTATCATCCTGAGCTTTCAGATCGTCTGCGAGCCCTAGTAAGGAATCCAAGGAGAGCACTTCGCATACGGGCTGTGCCTAACGCATTACACTATAGGCACAAAGCGGCGACTTCCCCCATCTCCTCGTATACGGCCCTTCTGGAGCAGGCAAGAAGACGCGTATTGTCGCAACCCTTAAAGAACTTTATGGCCCCGGTGTAGAAAAGATCAAAATCGATGCACGTGTCTTCCAAACTACTACGAACCGCAAGCTCGAATTCAACATTGTCGCTTCCGTATACCACCTCGAAATTACGCCATCAGATGTTGGAAACTATGACAGAGTAGTGGTGCAAGACCTGCTCAAGGAGGTCGCGCAGACGCAGCAGGTTGACTTGGGCGCAAAGCAGCGGTTCAAGGTTGTCGTTATTAACGAGGCCGACCATCTGACCAGAGATGCCCAGGCCGCGTTGAGGCGAACCATGGAAAAATACAGTCCCAACTTGCGATTGATCCTGCTGGCAAACTCGACGAGCAATATCATTGCCCCCATCAGAAGTAGAACGCTGCTTGTCAGAGTTGCAGCGCCTACCGAGGCTGAGATTTGCGATGTGCTGAGCAAAGTGGGAAAGAAGGAAGGATGGAAGGATGTTGAAAGTTTACACCAGAGAATAGCAAAAGACAGCGGACGCAACCTCCGAAAGGCACTTTTGATGTTTGAAGCAGTGCATGCTCAAAAGTACGCCCTTTATCTCCTCTTTATGCGCTCAATAGCTGCAACTAACACCGTAATAGTGAGAAGATTACAGATCAGACACATATCCCACCTCCCGACTGGGAAGCGCTCATTGAGCAGATTGCCCGCCAAATCGTCGAAGAGCGCTCCCCTCAACGGCTCCTCCAGGTTCGCGCTTCCCTCTACGATCTTCTATCGCACTGCATCGACCCGACAACTATCATCAAAACCCTTACCTGGAAACTCATACCAAAGACGGACGATGCACTGAAGCCAGAGGTGATCAAATGGGCGGCCTTCTATGAGCACAGGTGTAAGATGGGTGCTAAGCATATTTTCCACCTTGAGGCGTTTGTCGCCAAGTATATGAGGCTATACGAGAGGTATGTAAAGATTGGATGAAGCATTTGCAATGCACATATGAAACTAACAATCACCGCAGCTACTCCATGGGCTTAGACTTCGATTCCGCATAATAGAGGGGAAAGTATCGCCGGGCAGCATTATCAAAATAAGTAGAATAAGAATCCGGCATAGGCAGACTTAGCGTGAGGTGTTCTGGCGTTGTTGAGCGCGTTTCGCGTACCGGCGTTTGGTAGTTACGTCATAAGCTATTATCGAACCTACCCAAACATCTTGAGCTCTCGAGCTTCAACTACACTACATACCACACATACCCTCTGAATCAACTACTATACTCGTGGCGTCTCACCGCAACCAAACTATATCCCGTTCGTCATCATGTCAGACAAACTCATGGACACTGAAGCTGGCGGCGAGCAAACCCAATACGAAGGCATCCACACATATGTTGAACCACATGACAAGAAATACGGCCAATTGAGCAGTATGTTCCCCCGATTTTCCTTAAAATACCTCGCTTATCCCATCCCTTCCAACAGACTCTGCAGAAGGCACATCGGTCCACGCAAAGACTGCCGACCCCGGCGCCCCAAACACGCATGGCATCACGCCTGCAGACAAGATCCGCTACGGCCAAAGCATCCAGGAGGGTGGTATGGGCGGCAAGACCACGACATCAAGCGGCGATGCAAAGGCAAACACGGGATTTGGAGGGATTGAGGCGTTAGCTAGCGATGACGAAGGCGCAGCGAAGCAGAGGCGGGAGCAGGGATATGGGGGAAGTAAAGATATGGACCGGACTATTGGTGCATAGAATAAGTTCAAGTAATATTGGGATGTGTACATGTACTCGTACAATAATGATGTAAACGTGTCTAGTCTAATATGTGTTCCTTCTCCTATGTCTTCCCAAACGCCAAACGCTATGCGACAAAGATCCCCAGGAATAATCGTACATGTAGCGTAAACAGATGAGGGATATCTGAGCAGAGACGTAGCCAAAAAGGGGGGGGGGAGAGAGAGAATACTGCAACGAGTCTTCCAAAGAGCTGAGTAGAAAAAAAAGCGGAGAAAAAAGCCCATATCAAACTCTCTTTCCGTCGTCTCCTCTGGCATCACCCTTTGCCATCTTCCGTGCCATTGCCCTCTCTCTTTCTAGGACACTAGCAAATGTATCCATTCGCTTTGGCATGCCAGCTAGATCCGCTCCAGTATGCATAATACTGTCTCCTCTACTGACACCATTCCTGCTGCCTCCGCCCCAAGCTCCAAGACCCCATCCACCTCCTCCTGCAGCTACTACTGGTCTCATTGGCTCCCGCGTAACAAGCGCGCCAGGACCATGTCCATACATGCTAACTCTCTGGACCTTGCGCAGCCGGAGCAAACCGTAAACTGCGACGAGAGCGCCAAACACGGAGCACCAAGCGCTGATGCCGTAGAAACCGTAGTCCGATTCTTCGATGAAATTCTTGAGATTCATGCCGTAGAGGGCTGCGACAAAGGTACCGGCTGTGATTGCGAGGGTGAGGATAGAGAATTTGAGGTCGAGAAGCATGAGCGAGTTGCGGTTGGCGTCTAGAATAGCTTTGACACTGCACAATACTGTCAGTAACGCTATGGAGTGACTGAAAAAGGAAAGGGTACATACATTTCCTCTGTGTTCCTGATGCTCGAAACCAAGTTCTCGGCTGCTTGTACAATTTCATCGGCGACCTTGTGGTACGATTCCAGGAGCATCTCAACTTCGGTGTGGTCATCGTCTTGTCGTACCTTGCCCTCTGCCTTTTCAGTCAAGTACATGGCGCTTAGATCGTCGTCTGCCTCGAGTAATTCCTCCAGTGCGTTCCTAACCAATCTTGCCTTTTGCTCAAAACTACCCAGCTTCTTACTGTAAATCAGCAGATATCTGAGCTTGTCTCGGTCAATGTCCTCCTCGAGTTCCCGGAGGACTCTCACAACTGGTTCGCTGACACCTTCGAATTCCTTTTCCAAGCTCAAGGTTACACTTATTAGGACAGCTTCTAGTGCGCGAAACTCGTATGGAAGGGTGCCGTTGAGGGTCGATTCTTTTTGACGGAGTCGCAAGTCGAGATCGTACATGAAGACCGATTGCGATTTCGAATCTGTAGTACCGTATGCATCAAATACGAGGACCCGATTGTGTTTCAACAATACCCGCAGATTGAGGAGGTTTATGAGAATCGCAGATGGTCGGACTAGAATATGCGGGAGGAGCGAGGAGTCGATTTTGCGAAGGTCGCGCGGAAGAAGACCGTACTATTCCCAGATCGTTAGCTACAATATGTTGAAATGCCATTCGCTTTACATACCTTTGCGATCAGTTCGCTCTTCTTAAACTCTCCACTGACAAGCGTGACGTTGCCATGCTCGTCCAATTCCGTGCAGCGCATCTTTAGCTCGTTGGTCGGCCGCATAATACGTCCCAGACTACTTCCAAATCCTGAAGAGCCAGAGGACGAGTCGTCTGGTGGTGGAGGCGGCGGCGGTTGTAACTGCGCCAGCTTTCGCATCCTTGCACTGCTGAAAATGTTCCATCCATTGTTGGCGCGAGTTGTGGAAAACGACCGATAGGTAAAGCAATCGACATGCTGCAACGAGGTGGGTGGGGTGTGTCGAAGAACAAGCGAACGGTCCTGAGGTGGAGGAGATGCTTTGTGTTCGATCAGGCACCTAGTGGAAACACATCTTCTGTTGCTAGAAAAGCCCCCTTTCTGCAAGTGACTTGTAATTCCTCCAAATGAACATTTTCCTGGGCTTCTGCCTATTTGACTGCCGATAGCATAACCGCGACATTGCCGAGTGGTGTGGGCGCATAGCGCAATAGGCGATGCGAAGACATTATTGACCTGAGCTCGCAGGAAACTCAAAACCGACGGCGATGGGGCGGCAACTCTCTGTATCAGAGTTGTCTTCATAACTTTCCGGTGGAGTCAATATGTATGCGGAATCGATCCATACGGTCGTTGATCAAATCTTTTGCTTGAGTCTGCCTGCACGTCATAGCGCTTCCGCGCTCTTGGAAAATCATTTGACGCTAGTGACGTCACGTGCGCTATCGTACTTGCACATATATCATAGGTCGTGGGAACTCAGCCTCGTACATGCCATCCTTGACTTTTGGACGACTCAAATCAATGGAATGTCTCACCAGCTGTACAATGCGCTGATTCGAACGCACCACATTACTTCGCGCAAGAAAGTCGCCAAACTCAAAGCGGCAGCGTCGAATTGCAATGTTTACGCTTTGTTGCGCAGTGGCGGATGCCCTGGCATTATGTACTGTCAAGGCGCAGAGACTGGTGTGAGAGACTGGGTTGCGAACGTCCAAAGATTGCGCTATAAAGATTTCCAACTGGTCAAGAAGCCTGCCGAGAAAGAAATTGGCGGAAAGGAACCAGAGAGTGGCATCACGCACGGGAAGCTAGAGGAAGTGGACACTGTAAAAGATTTTGGAGCAAAGATGGAAAGCCTAGGTGTCTGGGAGTGGTGGAGGAGAGGTATGGGCTATGTAGGAAACGACTAATTTCACCCTTGTCATTCACGGCGTATGCGTGATGTGCTGCTCATCATTGCCTTGTTGTACTTGTTCCTAGCCCAAAAAGGACACTACTATACACGTCTGAATATCTGACCACCATCCTCTTTGCTCTCCAACAAACCTGTCATTCCTTTCGCCATCTTGTCGGCTTCCCGAGCAGACCCTGCTCTACACTCCCCACTATGCCAACCCTCCATCTCGGTAACAAGAGGTATGATAGCCGAGCCTTTCCATGCCACTACGCCTTTTCTCCAGTTCTGAAGCAACGTAGCAACGAGAAAGGCAATACCCATTGCCACCTCAATAATGGGCAAGATGATCCATCCCCAATTGACATACACATACTGTTCGAATGTAATTGCCTCGCCTGCTAATTCCTGACCGGTTGGACTTTGACCAAGAGCATATGTAATACTATCACTCATGCTTTTCATAGTCTGTGTGAAGTCTGTAACGTTGTTCAGCACTAGGCCGAAAAGGTCTTTCTTTGAAGAGGAAAACACCATGTTGAGGAATTCCATAAGTTTAGTGTTGTCAGTTGGAAGAACGCTGAAGCTTTTGTTCCCAGGAAATGTCCCGCTTTCGTCGGAGACGTTAAAGGTGACCCAGTGATTTGAGTCGAAAGGGTTGACAACACCGATGAGTTCGTAGTCTTTGGCAATGCCAGGATGAAAGGTACCATTTGAAAAGGTAGTGTTTTGGACAAGGCGAGCAACCCAGCGCATGCTACACTCGGTAATGTCGGGATTTTCGTCGGTAAATGGCGTCGAAATTTTGGCGGCGGCGAATTTTAACAAGGTGCTATTGAGTAATTCGCCAAGGTGGCTGGTTGTTTGTGGTGGAAGTGCGGTGCTGTTGAATCCAGTCGAACGGGTATCGCCCGATGAGGTGGATGAATAAGACGAAATGAAAAAGTCAGACGGTGTTGTGTAGTTGCAACTACTAGTCCCTCGAGAGAATTCACAACTCATGTTGCTGCTTGATGTGACATTTTTGCACTCGCTCGTTACGGCCAAAGTTGTGAAATCCTCCCACCGACAGTTACCAGTCTGGCATTGAACTTGGATAGGTGCGCTGAGATTGTACAGACCATTGAGAATAGCGCCTTGCATCTTAGGGTCCATCGTTCTCGCTAAATATCGAATCAGCAAGTAGTCTTGGTTTTGATGGTCTACTACGGATGTCTTACTAGATGCCTGTGTTAAACCATAGCCCGCGCCAGTGTCATAGATTTGATTTCTGTAAAAGGTAGCCCCAGATCTCTCGGGATGCTCTCTTGAAGGATACGAAAGTAGCTGTTGCGACAGTGGACCCATGGTAAGAGATACAATGGTAATGAGGGCACCCCACGTAGCCAGTTTGGTTTTGAAATGGAGGGTGAAAATAAGTGTCAGCGAGCCCCATGGCCCACGACTGGCTTCATCGAGGATCTGATACTCATGTAAAGGCCGCGGTGAGCTTACAAGGTGTATCCATTTGAGCTGGCTGATGCATGATGCAACTGGGACTATGAGTGCAGTCCTGGAAAGGGTCGAGAGCAGGGCAACCAGTGTGTTGAGCGTGATGTCGTGATAGAAGTGCCAACTGGATAGTGATTTTCCTTGATACTTCCTTAGAATGATGATGACTGCAATGACGCATGCAATACTGAAAACTGCAGCAATAAACTCCCAATACCAATCTCTGATGTGTAGCTCTCTGGAGTGGCTCAGTTGTTGTTCGCTGTGTTTTGCATTAGTCTGCTCTTTTGCAGGCGCGGGGTTTAGCAACGCCTCTGCGCTCACATCATATCTCGAGGCATCGTATGCGTTCTCCTGCCCGGAAGTACTCTGGAGTGGCGAAACCGCTCTTGGTGATGCGCTTGGTTGGAAGGATTCGTCGTGGTATGGAGGGCGTTCGTAGCCGTTTGAGGATGTCATTTTGACAAAGATGATCGTGAAGAACAACAACAGCCTGCTAGTACTGAGTGATTCAACCGCCTGCAGGGGGCTGAAAAGGACATTATACGTAGCATGGCCCCCGTGTGTAAGTGCGAATGCGATGGTGGCCAAAGTTAGCTGTGTACTACCATAGGTCAAGGGTTTAGGCGTCCCCCACTACGATCGGCCAGGCCCCCGAAGCTAATCTAGGTGAATCCTGGAATGATCCGTACTACTATAGATAGCAAGGCTGAATTTGTGGCCTCAAAAAATGACGGTAAGGTCACTAAAGTGATACCCATGAACAGGCAACCTTTTTGCAATAATTTCTGCTTCATGCTGTGTTCCGTTCATGCTACTTTTGCGCAAAACAATCATATAAACTAGTTATAGTTTTTGTATCTAAACTTTTCTGTCCCCCCCTGGGATTTTTTGTGTTTAGAGCTTTATACTCTCGAAATGGTACCCCAAAGCAACCCTTAGTGAAGCGCATGAAAAAGAAAAATTAACCTCTAAAACTGGGTCTATTCGCAAGTGAGTTTCCCTTAAGAACAGAAGTTCTTCATGCCATTTATCATTTGACCTTGGCGGTGGCAGTGGGTGAAGAACCTGTCTTTTGGTTTGGAGGATGAAGCTCAAAGTATGTTCTTAGTACACGTCTATGAAGATAAGGGTTGAGCGATTGAAACCAGAAGCATACGTTGTTATATTGAAATAATACAATAGCTTAAACTTATTGCTAAATAGATATTAAGAGTTTTTGTTGCGCTCAATTTTGATATCTATACTAACATTTTCAGTCATCACAACTCTATTTTCATATTCCACATTTGCGGGTCTGCATGGCCATTTTCGGGCTGTCCAGACAAAGCCGCCGCCAGCCCAGGTTTTCTTTACTATAGCAGGCTGGCTTTGTTCATGCTCTTAACCTGCCTTGCCAATCCCTAATCAGAGCTGGAATACTACAAGTAGACACTAGTTGCTTAGAGTCAAGATTCAAATATTTGTGATTGTTATGCTCATCAGGAGTCTTAATTTTTTGCTTTCTATTAGCCACAACACGATTCCCTTTCTCTTCTCACGATAAGATTTCTGAAGTGAAATTATGAAACACGTATGAAGCAGGTGTATATTATATTGGAATTTGGAATCTCCCTACTTTATGAATAACAGAATAATCAAAGGATAAGACGGTAGCATGAAGTGTTTTTTTTAGACAGGCACCAAAAAATATCAAGGTCAATTGAGATGAATCTCTCATGACATACTTAAGGTTCGAATAAAACTATGTGCACTATCCAAATAATTATGGCTTGTTTCGCCCAAGAGGTGCCCTATAAATCTCCAATGGCTGGCCTTCCTAGATTACAGCTTAGAGTATGGCGATAGGTAGGTTCTTCAGTAAAAAAAAGAGAAATTTTTGGTATTGGATTTTGCAACCTTAAGCCACACTTTTGAAATAGTACTGTCACAAATTTTCATACATCAAGATCGAAAGACTACGATATCTTGAACAAAGTGTTAAAGTCAATCCTCAAGACAGGAGGAACTGAAGAGAAACATAGACGCATGTGTCGGCCAAAAGTAGACCAGAAATTCAATCAAAGGAGCGCTCACATGTTTCAAAAATAAAGTTCTTTAAACAGAGATGCATTTCAAATCAATCCTAGAATAAGACAAACGCACCTCCAAACGCCAACCAGCTTTTGACACTGGATTTGTCTAATATGGGGCGGCAGACGCAACATTCTGAACAGCGAAGCAAACTAACCAACAAAACAAAAAAACAAGGAGATCTTGCCAATTTGCCATACCGCGCTCTATCACCTCATTATACAGTCAATATAAGCCTCCCCTTTACACCTTAAGCATCTCCATCATAAGTCTCAGCGCAAAGTTATCATCGCCAAACTTCTTCTCCAAACGACCAACCTCGTTGTCAAGCTTGGTGTGAAGCTCACGGAGCACCTCAAGGGTGTACTCGAGACTCTGCGTCTTCTTCATGGTATCGAGGATCTCACGCTTAGCCTCGTTGGTAAGCTTACCCTCGACGCGCCTCTTCATGAGCAGCGCGCGGAGCTGCATCTGCTCACCGGCGAGTGAGGGATTGGCCTCAAGAGTGCGGATGCAGTGGATGAGGGTGAAGGAGTACTTGCCCTCGTCGAGATCCTCGGCGAAGCCCTTTTGCTGCGCGTACTCGGCAGACACGAGGTTCTGGTAGTCGTCGCGGATCTGGAAGAAGCGGCCGATGAGGCAGCCGAGCGGGTTGAGCTCAGAGTCGGAGATTTGGCCGTTGAGCGGTGACTCGGCAGTCATGAGGCGGGTCAGCATGCGGAAGAGACCGCCCGTCTTCATGTCAACCATCCTGAGGTACTCGCCGAAGGTCGGGCAGATGATGTTGTGGGTCCAGTAGAGGTCGTAGCTCTGGCCGACGTAGAGCTCGTTGATTTCCTCATTGAAGATGCGGAGGCAGTCAGGGTTGCTGAGGCCGGCGGCGAGAGCGGTAGCGTGCGTGAACTGGTAGGTTGCGCTGTTGATTGTTTGTGAGGCGCCATAGACGTTGTGAGTTGAGGGCTTGCCGCGGCGGAGGGGCGAGTTGTCCTCGAGATCGTCAAGCCTGGGGGTGGGGTTAGAAGAGAGTTCATTTTGGGATGTTAGAATAGAGGGGGACTAACATGAGGGATGCAGTGTGGAGCATGTTGATGATCTCCTTAATCTTTTTAGTGGCTTTAGCAGGGGTCTTGAGCCAGTTGTTGATGGAGTCAACGGCTTGGTCACGGAAACCCTTTGAGGGCATGGAAGTGATGTAGGCATAGGGTTGAAGAACGACCTGAGATGCATTGTTAGCTACCGTCTTTGTGGAGGTATCGATTTTCTGACAAGACGTTATAGAGAACTTACATCAGTGGTCAAGTTAGGGAGGTCGGTGCTAAGAGCTAGCGAGACTACCTCGTTCAGTTGGAGTGAATCCACGCCAACTCTCGAGATGGTGGGCTTCTTGACACCGTTGGTGCCGTTCACTCCGTTAGTTCCGTTCACGCTCTGCCTTTTCCTCTTCTCGCCTTTTGACTCGCCCTGTGTCGAACCCTTCTTCCAGATGTGGTCCATGGAGCCATCGGCTGGTGGGAAGGTTGCTGGGTACTTGGCTACACCGTGCTTGGCTCGCAGCATCTGGAGCTCGTTCCACTCAGCCTTGAGGTTGTATCGTGGGCACTGGGCACTCCAAACAACATTGCCAGAAAGGGTGTACTGCATGACGTCGATGTATCGCTTGGTATCGTCAGAGAGGTCAGATCGCGTCTTGGTGTCCTTGACGATCTGAACAAACTTGGCCATCTCTTGTCGGATACGCGCCTTGAGGCGCTCTCGGCCTTCTGCTTCGTCACATCCATGCTCCTTCATGACAATGTAGACTGCGTTTTGGATGTTGGCGTCATTCTTCTCCTTCTCGAAGGAGAACAGATCGTTGACGAGCGAAGCAGCACACAGGGCCGGGGTGAGGAACTCGGTGCACAGTGCCTCCTCCTCAGGGGGGATGGTGATGGCGCATCCGAAGGTGACCAGGCCGTGCCAGAGCATGTATCCGACGTCGAGACTCCTGTAGGGGATGTACTCATCAAGAGTCTGGAAGTTGGTCAACTCCTCTCGCCTGGCAGAATGTTGGACTCCAGCAGCCCAGCTCTTAGCGACAACCATGGCCCTCTCAGGGTCAATTGCCATCATCTCGCGCATGATCTGAGCAGCGATGACACGCTTGCCAGAGGCACCTCGCTCGTCGATGCTGCCGGTCTTGGCTCCCTGCTCCAAGCCCTCCTCCATGTCGCTCAAGTCGGCATCCTCGATGTGCTCATCGATGACATCGTCATGGATGAAGCCAAACTCTAGAGCATAACTGGTAATCTCCATTCGCTCGGGAATACAGTTGGGCACAGCAACAGTGATGAAGCTGAACTGTGGGCCAAGGCCACCTCGGAAGGGCCTCTCGAGAGGTCCAACTAAGCGGCGCCAGTCTTCCTGACACCTGAATGCACCGACATCCTCAAGATCGGCAGCATGGTGGCGCCTGAGATCGATTCCTTCGCAGAGGTTGTCCGGGTCGTAAATGTTCCTGTCGAGGAGGACGGAGTAGGGTTGGTCGTATGAAGGGGCCATTTTGTCTTTTTAAACTCGAACGACTGTTGCGTTACCGGCGAAGAGTTGAGGCCTGTAGGTGGAGATGGGAGAGGTGGAGGAGAGGCTGTAGTAGACCAAAGGATACAAGCTCAACAAGATGAGATTAATGACAATAATGAACGTGAGATCGCTTGTAAATTTTGATTCCGCTTGAGGAATGGTAGTCAACATACGGATTGCTTTCGATGGGCGATGATGGTGGCTTATGAACGGTGGTTCGATGGTGATGCGATATAAACTTTGGAGGCCAACTAGTTCTTTTAAATAGACATCCTTGTAGTTGCTACACATTGTCATGCAGCGCTTAGTGTGCGAGCATAGGCAGGCACTTGGTAGCGTGGGAGTGCGTTTCACAGCGATCAGCTACCAAAAGCGTAAATTCCGACCAGCGGCAGTCCCAACAAGCTGTCGCACAGCGAACCATGCCAGGCAGCAGAAGAGAATGGAAATTGAATGCCGGTGTAGTTCCGCTTCGCGTTGTGTGGGCCTAGACTTATGGTGGTCCTGAATGGGAAGTGGCCTAATTGGGCGAAAATCCCGATTTTGGTCAGCTTTGGGTAACTACCGTATCCCAGAACACTAGCCCGCCGGTAAGACGGTGCAGTGTCAATCAGACTATTGGTATCAATGGCATTTTTTTGCCTTGTCTACTGTATCGCTGCGACTCACTTATAGACCATCAAGCCCTCAGCCAACAGAATTTGTCAAGCCATCCACACAAGAGCGTCTCTCACCTTCTCTTCTTCCTATTCACATTCGCCATGTCTTCTATACAGTTGCAAAAGTACCTTGATCTCCTGCCTGAGAATGCCATTCTCAACGCAGGTATCGCCATCGCAGGACTCAGCGCAGCCTATGCTATTGGCTTGGTGATCTACCGCCTTTACCTCTCTCCCATCTCCAAGTTCCCCGGTCCCAAGATCGCTGCAGCAACCTTCTGGTACGAGCTGTACTACGATGTCATCCACAAGGGACAGTACTTCCACAAGATCGAGGAGATGCACGAAAAGTATGGTACGTACCACGACAGCTTTCCCCGATACCCCGGATCCTCGTTGTGCAAACCCCTCTACCCGGTAGACCGTAAATTACACGAATTCTAACGTCAATGCTTAGGCCCGATTGTAAGGATCAACCCCCACGAGCTGTCCATCCGCGATCCCGACTACTACGATGAGCTCTACGTCTCTGGCTCTGTCCGCCCCAGCGACCGTTACGAGGGTTTCGTCAATGGTGTCGTCGACTTCGAGGGCTCTCACTTGGCCACTGTGGCCCACGAGCTTCACCGCAAGAGGAGAAAGCCTCTCGACCCTTACTTCTCCCGCGCCGGTGTCAACAGGCTGGAGCCCATGGTCGCCGATCTCACCGAGGAGCTCGTTGTCAAGCGTTTTGAAGAGTTCAAGGGCACTGGCAAGGTCGTCAGGCTCGACCACGCCTTCACTGCCTACTCTGGCGATATCATCAGCGCTCTCTGCATCGACGAACCACCCCACTTCACCTCCACCCCTGACTTCACTCCCAGCTGGTTCGATCTTTTCCACAGTGGTGTCGTTACACTCCCTCTCTTCATGGGTCTCCCTTGGCTTATCCAGTAAGGAACATCCCACACCCGCAAAGCCTACATGTGCTAATTAGTATAGCCTTATCCGTCTTATCCCCGAGTCTATCCTCGCTGTCATCGACCCTGGTGCGCAGAACTGGAACACCTTCAGGATGGTACGTTCAGTTCCTCAACCACAAGTCCGAATATTGCAGCCATACTAACTGTTTGGCAGATGTGCTATGACAGCATCAAGGACACCAAGCGTGAGAAGGGCGCCCAGCCCACCAAGGATACCTCGCTTCTCGGCCGCCCTACCCTCTTCCGTCACCTTGTCAACAGCGATCTCCCCGCCTCCGAGCTTTCCGATGAGCGTCTCCTCCGTGAGGCTCAGGTCCTCATCGGCTCCGGCACCATGACCACCGCTGGTACCATGTGCTTCCTTGTCTACTACATCAAGTCCAACCCCGAGATCCACCGCCGTCTGACCGAAGAGCTCAAGCCCATCATGGAGGGATACCCCCACAAGAAGCCTAGCTGGGCTGAGATCGAAAAGGCCGAGTACCTCCAAGCCGTTCTCAAGGAAGGTCTTCGGTACGTCCCTCCCCCACAAGATGATCCACACCCAAACACACACATAGATGATTGGAAAACTAACACACTACACTAATAGTCTGAGCTTCGGTACCATTCACCGCCGCCCACGTGTCTCTCCCAACCAGCCCCTGCAGTTCAAGGAGTGGGTCATCCCCGCTGGCGTCCCCGTCGGCATGTCCGCCTACTTCCAGCACACGGACCCCAAGATCTTCCCCAACCCCCACGAGTTCAACCCCGACAGGTGGCTCAGCAACGTCACTCCTGCCATGAAGAAGAACTACGTTCCCTTCTCCAAGGGCTCCCGCCACTGCCTCGGAATGAAGTAAGTTTTTTCCTCTCCCTTCTTTCTCTCTCACATACAACGAAACTAACGAGCATTTTCCAGTCTTGCCTACTGCGAACTCAACTACATCATCGCCACCATGTTCCGTCCTGGTGCCGTCGACTTCGACCTCTTCGAGACCACCGAGTTGGATGTCAAGCCCACACACGACATGGTTGTCCCTCTGCCCAGCCTCAAGTCCAAGGGCTTCAAGGTCAAGTTCAACTAGATTTCGCCAACCATGGCGGGAGTCTAGAACGGTGTTGGGAAATTGTAAGGATTCAAGTCTAGAATGATGGAAGAAAAATGCAAATAAGCATTAGAGAATATGTGGCTGGCTGCTTGGTGGGGCATCGGCCCTGAGTCGATGGGAAATTGTAAACTTTGTTTTTTTCTCTTTCTCTTTCATCGCGGTGTAAGGTTGGGAAGGACAAGATAGTTAGATCTCTGTTTTAAATGATCAGTTTTTTTCAGTTTCTTTTAACCGTTTCATCTCATCTCTTCTTTTTTTTCGTTTTAAAAAAGATGCTTGGTGAATATTTACCTTTTGGAGCGGTGTGCGAATATGTGTAGGCAGTAGCCTTCGCACTTCGAGCGGTATGCAAATACGCAGGGAGCAATCGACTTTTGCGCTTCTCACGGTACCCCTTGCGCCACATATTTCTTCTTCTGCTCTTGATATGACAAATATTAGCAGACTTGGCTCGAAAAAAACTAACCTTCAGACAAAGGGCTGCGAGGGAGTCAAGTCGACAAACATCGAATATGATCTGATCTACTATTTCTCCTTTGAACGCCAAAACTCCCCCCTCCCGATTCAACGCCAAGTTCTAATCGAACCACACATATATCATACGAAACCTAAGCGAACAGCTAAAATATCATGTTGAAAGAAATTAGAACGTCACGAGATAAACAAGGCTAGCGCCCTCTAGGCTCCTAGCCAAAGAGAAGTGTCCTCTCCCCTCATTCTTCGCCACCATTCACTCTGTCGCACTAATTCTCCTTCTTCACCGCCAACTTCCGTCCAGTACTTCTGCAAGAACCATGTCCTAGCCTCCCAGCTTCTGCCGTCCCAAGGCGTGATTGTCGATGGTATGCCGGGAGCAGAATTTCCTGCAGACCTTCCAACACCGGCCCAGCAGACCAATCCGCTAATCAAATCATAGTAAAGCTCCTGGTTGTAGAAGGAGTCTTGTTTGCTAATCAGGTTCTTTCTCAACGTGGGAAATGGGAGAAGATCGATAATGGGATGATGTCTGATCATAATCTGTTCCTTTATCGGCCTAAGATCGGGCTTTAGACTCTTGAAAATGGACTGCATGGTTCTGACGACGCCCTCAATCCCAGAATCGCCGATGGTGTTGCGGAAAGGGCGGAAGAAGGGAGATTCAGCATCATCATGACAGAGCATTTCCTCGGTGATGCCGAGATGCAGGCGGTTTGCCGTGACTGCGCGCACAATGCAGATGCGTTCGACACTGAGCGTGTAGTCAACGGGGTCGACCGGGAACGGGCTCAAGTCGGGGTTCAGCGCTTTCAGATCGCGGTATCCGCTGATGCCTACTGCTGAGCTGGCCTGAACGTGGGGGCTGACACACCCACACTCGACATAATCAATCCAAGGATGCAACCTCGACGTGGCGTCGACGGTTTGGATCAGATTGGACATGTCGATGGAGCTGGCTGGGTCGCAAGGGGCGAGGTCCGAAGGAGAGTTTGAGAAGATGGAGGTGGAGAGGTCGAGGTCAGAGAAGGCAGTAGATTCACTGCTATATTCACTGAGACTTTGTCCCAAGTAATGACACATGATCTGGCCATCGGCTGTGATGCTTCGTGACGATATTCTCGACGACACACTTGAAGGTGCAGGAGTTGTGATGACGACGGCATCAGGAGTGGTTGTCTCAGCTATTGCAGCGCCTTCAGCGACGGTGGCGGCGAGCGTCTCGAGTTGATCGAGGCGTCTCTTCAGTTTGTCGCCTGGACTGGCAAGTCAGAAACGATGCTGGGTAAGTAGAGGGAGATTCGGCGTGAGACGCTGAAGTGCAGAGGCAGGCAACGTACGGTATTTTTTCTGTGCCTTGATGTTTTGCTGACGTCGTTTCTCTTGGTCGCGGCGCACTGGTTTCCGCTTGTCTGTGCTGGCCGCATCGTTGTTATTGTTGTTGTTGGTTGAGACGTTATTTTCCTGGCTTTCCACCGGGCTAGGGAGTTGTGCGGGAGTGGTTAGCATGGTGTCGCAAGGTGGTCCAGTTGACAAGGTGTAGCGTGTACGAACAACGGAACGGCGAGTGGGATAGTATGATGAGCGCGAGGGAGGGTGGAGCGACAGTCAGCCCCCCGCCCTTGCTCGCACCGTCTAGCGCTAATCCGTATTTGGCAAGGCTAGCTTGGCGCTTTGAAAGGGCGGAGGGCCTGTTCGGTGTTGCGTCTTCTCTCGTCCGTTTCGCCTACCGGCAAGGGAGCTAGGGGGCGAGGGTTAGCCCGAGTTGGCTCAATTCGTTACTTTTGTGTAAGTAGGGGTATGCTAGGAGTGCCTGATTGCGTGCCTGCTATAACTAGAGTTCTATTGCTGATTTCCTTTCGCAGATAAGCTAACTATTAGCTTGTGTTTTGGACTACGTATATCATTTCACTCTACTGTACCCAGACCGCCAGGAGACTAGCATGATGGAAGGGGCTAACAACAAGAAACGCTCCAAGCTACAGGGTCACATGGACATGTTTTGACAACCAAGGGTGAGCCTACACCCAGTGCCAACAGATTGATCATGCCAATGGCCTTTGGCATTAGAGAAGACGCCTAAAGACGTACACAATAGCCTATATCGATAGATTGGCATGTGTTGTAATCTGCCCAGAATCACTAGCTCATCGTCATCGTCATTGCCTGGCATTACCCTGCGTGGTGAAAACATCGCCATCCCTGCTGCTCTTGTACACGTTCCAATTTGGAGGCAGACACGACCTTCCGCTCCTTTGGCTTGATGGATCTACCAGCCAAGGCTGCATTTGGGCTGTGTTTGGGCTGCCTCGCGCTATTTGCAGCAGCGACTAGAAGTGAGCTAGAATGCACCGAAAATGGCGAGAGTGAGAGCTTGGGCGACAACATGCCCAAGCGCTGAAGTGCTGAATCAGGCGTCGACGTATCGCATTTGTCTCAGCGCAACCGACAGACAAGGCATTCAGGCATACAAGACAGTCAGTCAAACTGTCCGCTTACGTGCTCAGCGGCAGTGTGGTAGTAGTGGGTTGTACGTACGGTGACCGAACGGCCTGTTCCTGCTTACATCACTCTGGCTTAACAAACTCTCTCAAACGTCAATAGCGTTTCCCGATTGGCCTCCCGCATCCTCCCGAAGACCCCGGGCATGCGCCCCTGGTAACCAGCCTGCGCCGGCCTGCGACCATCTGCACCCATCCCCCCCACGTCGCCCACGTGCACCCAAGACCTCGCGGACATTCCTTCCTTCACCCTCGATGGCCGAACAGCATCCATGCTGACAACTCGGCGCCATGCCAAGCGCCGAGTTACTCATATCTTGCATGTTCCAAGCTAATTGAACAAGTACTATGTACTTGCATCCTTAAAACTATCAGTCTAACACTACATGCGCACGCACCCCATGGGAGGCCCACTCGCCAGCCCTGCGAGTACTTTGGAAATCACCGTGTTGGCTCGGCCTAGCACCCAGCCTGTCCACTGCGTAAGTGGTAGACTCTGCTTGCGCCGATGGACCCTGTCAGCCTACGGGTAAAGTGTGCGTAAGTTCTCTACGCAGCTCGAGGGAGAACGGGATAAGCCGACAGCCACAAATCTGCAACCACAGACGGCCTCGGCTAGCCTGCTCGCAACATGCAAAAAACACTGTGCATGCGGCTCCAAGGCATTACAAACCTTCCGACTAATACTAATGTGCTTAGCGAACCGGCCAAGGGTTGGGGCCCTGAACGCCACATACTACGATACGAAAAATTAGGGCGTTATGTTGTGACCAGGAGGCCAAACGGGCCGCAGCAGCACGCCAAACCAACGCCTCAGGGCTCCCAGCGATACCCACCGACATTTGGCCCTAGGGCCGCCTTGGTATCTGAAGCGCGGGGGATCCACCTTGTACTCGGTCTCACCTTCTGTCAGCAGCCACCAACACTAAGCACCTGGATCGTCAATTCCCAGGAAATGGCTAACAAGGCAGCCACTGGCGTCCAAACCGCCTATCTTTGGTAACGCGGCTCTCGGGCTTGCTTATCGAGTCCGAATATCCGACATATTTATGAATGTTTCATTCAGCGACTACTACAACTACTAGTACCATCTCGGCATTGGTCGTGGTGCCATTATTCACACCCATTTATTCATCAAGGCCCCGATTTTTCAAGTTGTACATATTCTACAAAAGAAACAAATCCGAGCTGGCAACCTCCTTCACCGCCGTTCACATTTGGAAAAGGATAGGTTGGATAGAGAAGATCATCTGCTCATCATGTTCGGAACCCTACACTGCAACTCGCCTACCAAGGAGGCAGAGTTTGTCGAGAGGCCATATGGATCCCTCAACCCAGGAATGAACTCAGCCTGCGACCGATGCAGAGCATACAAGGTAAGACTACCAAGACTTGGATTTTACCCCTTCAAGCAAACATACGCTTTCAGTATCTGGTTTGCTGACGCGTGGAGCAAATTCGTATAGGTCAAATGCACTGTCAGTGGAAAAAGCTGCAGTCGATGCCGGCGTTTAAAAAAGACATGCAGTTTCACATCAGTGAGGCAAAGAAGTAGCCAGCGAGTATGGAAGACAGACATCAACTCCAAACGCCAGGAATCCCAACCATCAGACAGGTCTGCCCAACCACAGACATCACCGAGCCCCAAAGACAGCGGGAACGAGGGAGAAGATCACATAAAGCAACGAGGCTCTATATCATCAGGCCACACAGACGGAAACGATGGAAGTGAGAAAGGAGACCCACAAATTACAGACTACACATCACACCACCTCTCTGAAGCATCATCATTATCATCATCATCATCAACATCCAGCCTACCATTCCTCGCCGACTACGACCAACGAGATATGAGCGAGCAAAGAGACGACCTCTGCACATGCAGCATCCTGCCCTTTCCATTCTGTTCCTCAAGCGTACACTACAACAGCCCAGACGCCATGGCTCGGTCCAACATCGGCACTCCCCATGCCCTTCCCACACCCCCGGCCTCGAGAGACGAAACCCCACAACAAGTGCTATCCAGCAGCCAATCACACGACTCACAATTCGAAATGGGTCCCATCGACACGGAATCCCTCGACATCTCCGGCATCACATCCTCAATGTACTGGTCGCAAGGCTCATTTGAGAAAACCTGCCAATGCCTCGCCGACGTCATCTTCGCCCTAGAAAAACTGGAAGCAAGCTGCAGTTCAGGAAGCAGAGCAGGACTCGACTCTATCGTCGCCAACCAAAAAGAAGTCATTGAACTCTGCCGCTGCATGCTCAAGTGCAGCAACTGCATGGCTAAGCGCGAAAACTTTGTCCTGCTCGTATTCATGAGCGAACGTATAGTGGTAGCATGCAGTCGCATTGTGACAATGTACCGCATGGAAGATGGAGGTCTGCGAAACAACACGCACAACCACAGCGGCACTACTACGGTGGCACCCGCGCAGCTCGCCTGTCTACCCGGCCCACATCTCTCGGGCTCCACAACCGACATGGACATGGATAGCCAGTGCCTCACAGCAGCTACCGCATCAGCGGCCGCCTCGTCGTCGCCATCTCGGCCCACCACGTCAGGCTGGCAACAACTGCTCCTCGGAGACTACAAGATTAACTCAGCCCTAGAGTGGGACCATCTCGTCCGTGCCCTCATCAACTTTCAACTCAGGGCCGTCAAAGCCCTTCTGTGCGACGTCAAGAGCATAGGCACCATGATCCTGGGGGATGCGCAGAAGGAGTCTCTAGCCCGCGCTGAAACAATAGTCAACAAGTTAGAACAAGACATTTACATAATCTAGCGTTTTTCTTGGTACTATGCATTTTTCCCCCAAGAATGGCAGATTTGTTAATACAATACTTTTTAGTAATTATCACATGTTGTTTTGCTTATAACTACATTTTTTTATAACTTCTTTTGGGAGGCGTGGCAGAAAGACAAAAAACTTGGTTTAGATAAGAGACATAATTTAAACTGTTTTGCGCTCTCTCAGTTTTCTTAGCGCCGAGAGACCCTTTAGGGAATACCCGCCTCCCTCCCTCTCCCCTCTTTTTTGTGGATCTTTTTTTTTTGCCCATAAAACCGAATGTTACGACCCTTCTTCCCTCGCATCTCGATACTCGGGTTTTTTTTGTTGATTTATCCGTGCATTGGTTTTTTTTATCGACCAGTCCACTTTTTTACGCGTGGGTCGTAGGAACATGATCCCTCATCTTTGCTCATCCCGTCCTCGCTCCCTCTCGCCCGATCCTCCCGCCCGTTCTCGCAACCAAAAAAAGGTCCTTTTTTTTTCCCCCTCTCTTCCTCCTCCAGCCTGCTTAGTTAGAAAGAGGACTTATCTTTGCTCATCTTGACTCTGGCCCAATATGTTACCGAAAAGCCCATGATCGGTACACAAATAAGCACTATAGTAGCGATTTACAGCTGGCTAGTTTCTTGCCTCTAACGCGTGCTCCAAGCAACCAAGAGATAAATCATACCGCCAATCAGCCTAAGGATCTGTATGCTGAGCAAAACATGCAGCAAAAAAAATGCAGTCGCCAAAAACATGTCCAAGGGTGTCCGTCGCGGTTCACTCGCTTCTTTTTTTCCCGCCCTACCCTGCCCTGTCCCCAAGACAAGCTGTTGTTACAGGGTAGAACCCGAGAGAGAGAGAGAGAGCCAGCTAGTCAAGCGTACGGAAAGATTGATGACAACTTCGGGGAGATTCCGCACGGCTGTGTCAATATATCAAATTGAGTTATTCCAAATATGCACGCACTCAGCCTTGTTCCGCGGAGTAAGGGAAAGGGGCGGGGGGAAGAGGGGTGGCAATAGAAGGACTGCATAACAACGGAAGCTGGTTCACGTATCGCGTCATCGGTTGTTAATGCTGGGGGAGGGGCGAAGAGGGGGGGAACGGACAAGGGGTTCCGTTGATGTGTTATCGCTTGCTGCTGTAACCCGACTACATGTTCGTGTTTTACTTTTTTCCGGAGATCGAGTTCGCGGAATGCGATGATAGACAGCTGTCAGGCCGGGCTGATGGGAAGGGGCGCAGATTGTGATCCAATGGTTGGCCGGGTCACATGTTCGCCGCTGATAGTACTTACTCATTATTAACATTTACACTACTCGTCACTGGTTAGCGGAGGCCCGGTGGGGCTCCGAGTGTGGCTCGTACGTCCATGTCGAATCTTGCAAGGCGCACTGTCTGTAGGTTTCCTTGCGAGTCTAGCTAACTGAGTTTCCACTACTTCGCGGACGCTACTTGTGGCCAGGGACGTAGCGTCGGAGTGTAAGTACTGGGTACAGAGTAGGTAGGTGGCAGACGTTGGTCTGGATGCAGGGACTCGACAAGGCGCAACCACGGTCGACGCATGCTGTAAAAGGTTCCAGATAGCATGCAGCGGTTGTTGTTGCTGGCTCGTCCAACATGCCTTTTTGCTGCAAACATATAAGCAAGCCTGTCTGTATAACTAGGGGTGGTGTGACAAGAGTCGCAGGCTGGTGGATGCAGACAGCATCGGCGACAGCATGCTGCAGGTAGGACAGGCAGGACAGTGTTGACCGACATAAAGCCACACGTGAAGGGGAAGGGGGGGGACTGGGGTACAGGAGCCGATTGACGATGCTGTGTAGAGGTAACGGGGGCTAGACATTGGTGGCACTGCGTAGCCGCGTGTTCGGGGCTTTGGCTTTGACGTTGACAAGAGAAGATCCGTGGTCGTGCGTGGCGCAGCGCTAATGGGGAATGACGTTTGGTTTAGCGCGATAGCCCCCGGCGCGCGCCTCTTCACTAGAGAGAAACGCTAATTACCTCAGCAGCTCGCCCAGCCCTCCACCGCATGTCGACTGGGCTGATCGACGTAACTAACCGCGCTTCAATGCTTGGGTTCTTGGCCCCATCTGAAGCCGCCCGTTGGCCAACCGGCGGGATCCAAGTACATATACCGTTGGCATGTGTGTGTACATAGTCGTTAGTACTTACAGATGGAGATATGCCCGATGGACATCACATCAAATCCATGCCGTAAACGTACCACGTACACGACGCCGTTGGCGTAGCAAGATCCGACTTCAACGGCCCTCTTCGATTGGCTGCCTTGTCTCAAATCACGTCATGAGGACATGTCAAAATACGAGCGAGTTTGAGCTGAAGTTCAAGACTTTGGCTGCGGTGATTGGGAATCAGTCAGAACCTCTTTTGATTTCTTGCATTGCATTACTGTCTCATTGCCTGCGCCCTGCCTGTATGTCACAATCGGATCTATGTAAGTAGTTGGTCCTGTAACGTGCGCAGGGGTGTACATCTTTTCAGCAAAGTTCTGGTCGGTCCTTGAAGTACATACCCTCTAGTATCGTGTTTGGATTAGTCTCATGGCCTACCGCAATTTGGCAAATGCTCATCTCAAATGAACAATAAGCACGCAGCTGAAAAACAGTCGTGCACGCTTCGCACAAGTTGCTAAGAACATATTAGCCATTGTTTCATTTTCTGACTCCGCTACTGGCACCGAGTACAGCTATAGTACTTACAGACGTACGGGCGTACTCCGGGAGGGTTCCTCGTTTTCTACACAGGAACCGATAAGGACGCTCGAGACGAGCAGCCACAGAGGCCTTGCAAAGAACCCAGAAAATAACTTACTAATAAAACCTTTTTGCGAGTCAGCCAACAAGAAACTTTAACTCGAACGTAGTATCACTTTTCGGACCGTTATTTACAACCTTCTTCTTTCCCTTGCAGATCATGCCCTTCGGGGGTGCATTGTTAGAGGAGAGAAAAGACGCTGTTCCAGATCCTGCAAACTAGTGAGGTACTGTTTGGATACGCACGGAATTGCCGTGGTGCCGGGGGGTGGAGGTTATGCAATGTGGCGGAGACCAGGGCAGCTTCTTGGGTCGAGCCCGAACGAACCGTGCATTGGTCACGGCAAGGAACGCCCGGTGGACAAAGAAAAGTGGCGCCATGGCAAGACAGGGTTCTACTCGATAATCATGTGCAGGCCCTCGTTTTCTTGCATCTTTCTAAAACAATTTTTAACTTTCAGACATTTAGAGTACTATTACAACGGCCATGTGCAAAAAAAGTGGGGACGGTCATAATATTGTAGTAGTGTTATAGAGCGGTGAAGTTACTCGCTTTCTGGCGTGCTATTGTTATTTTAGTTGAGACCTGGCTGGTAGTGGCCCGTGTGAAGCGACGTATCTCTCGTCCATAGGGTGAAGGGCTATCACCCATATAAGTTTAGATGGACATCTGAACAAGTGTTCTTGGTACATACTGGTTTGCATGTGCCGTGGCTCCCCCACAGCCAATAAATGCATCTCGGGCAAGTTCACGAACCGATGCATGTGCCGACAAGGAGACTATCATCATGCTCGTTAGGTTGCATTTGAGTGGGTTTCTTGATGCACAAAGATTTTGCACGCGGCCCGAGGAACGTAGGCTAAAGAAATAGGCATGTTTGGTTGACCCCCACAAACCATGTCACAAACGGTGCGTATCGCCATGTTAATTAAAGTTGCATACGAGTGGCGTTATCGATCTGCACCAATTTGCACGTGGCGTGAGGGATGCAGGGCAGAGACAAGCATTTTAGTAAAAATTCCACCAACACGGTAACAACGGCTGTCAACCATGTTTAGATTAGATTGCTATGGAAGGGAAGGGGTTGGTTGACGGCCTCGCTGCTACTGTCATCCTATCTACTATGCTATCTACATGGCTTGAGGTATTAAAAATTACAAACCTGCAAGGAGCTTGGGAAGGACTTGTGTATCAGTGTACTTCCAGATCTGGCTGCTGTCATGCACACGCCAAGCAGCACCAGTGAAGTGCGTGTTCCTCAAACCTTGCAGGGCGTAGAGCTTGGCGTAGAAGCCGTTCTTGATCTCCTCAGAGCTGACTTGCAAAAAGTACGGTGCATGGGAGTGCCACTCGATGATCTCTGGCTCCGTCTGTTGGAACTTGTCAGGGTTCGCCGTTTGAAGCGCCTTGATGGATCGGATAATATCAGCCTTGACTGCGTCATCGGCCCAGGGGAACGAAGCCTTGCTTTGCAAGCTGCTCGAGAAGACGGTCCAAACACCATCGATAGCAGTTGGGTTCATGATGTTCACAGCTGGGAGGACAGGCAAGTTGTATGGGGTATCCTGGGCCGAGTTGGTAATGAGAGTTCTGGCGGGAATGCCAGTGTTTCTGACCATACCGACATAGTAACCCGCGTCGATGTACTTTCCAAACAGGTCCTTTTCAGTCTTGCTCAGGTCCAAAGGAGCAACGAAATCCAGCTTGGGGGGAATGGCAATGACGAGCTTCTTGGCAACAAGAAGTTTGGATCCCTCTGGAGTTTTGACAATGAGCTGAACGCCGGTCTTTCCCTCACTTCGGCGGGTGTAGGTGACCTCGGAGTTGAGGAGAACACTGGAAGTGGCACCCAGGACATTACCGACTTTGGTGTAGATCTCGCTGCTGTTGTGACGAGCGGTGACGAGAAATTTGCCGGTCGTGACAGCTGCGACAGTGTTGGCTCCCCAGTATCGCATTTGCTCGACAGTTGGGTTGGTCAGAAAATTGCCCGTTCCCCAGTTGAAGTTGTACATTTGCATGAGGGCTCCGGTAAGGTTGTACTTCTCGAGGAACTTGCCAAATGGCATGGTCAAGTCCTCGGGGACAGGGTATGGCAGGAAGGTGCCATCGTTCAACTGGGGATACTTTGCAAGCTGTGCGCTATAGCCTGCAAAGCCTGCAGCAAACTCCTCCTGGGTGGGGTTGTAGGTCCGGTTGACGGGCTTGCCAGTGCGCAAGTCATAGTCGAAGTTGGTTGACGGGGAGAAAGAGATGGGAGCGAGGGGAATGTCGAGGCGGGTGAGGTAGTCGGTGACGTGGGTAGTATTATGGAAAGTCACCAGGCCCTGCTCAGCTGTCTTGCGTGTTGCTGGGTCGGTGTAAGTTGCCACGTGACCACCAAGCCTGGCTGATTTCTCGACGACAACGACGGATTTTCCGGCGTCCTGCAGGCGTACCGCTATATGACAGCCACTGGAACCGCCACCAACAACGACCACATCCCTAGTGATGATGTCTTGGGAGTAGAACTTCTTTCCGTTGACCGTGAGTGGCGTATCTGCGGCAGTGACACTGGACGCAAGCAGGCAAGCTGAAAAGCTGACAAGAGAAGTTACCGAACGCATGGCGACAATGAAGGCAGTGCAATCTGAGAGATGGTAAACTGAAGGGTAGCGATGATTTCCATGATGGAATTATGCTTTACTTTTAAACGTTCTGCCAATTCTACCACTATGGATCCCCCTCGCCGACTGTGCGATACCTCGAGGATATTTGCAAGAGGGAATTCCCAGATTTGGTCATCGACCGACCAAAAGTGGACCTATTCCAGAGTTTCTCTGAGGCCCCCTATTGTTAAGTTTGTACAGGCAAAAGGTGCATATGCACCTGGCACTGAAAGTCAGCCGTGGGCACGTGACGCATAGACAATCCTACCTCTCTTACTGGCAGGCATCAGCCAACTGAGCACAGCATAGCGCTAGTATTGGTAACAGACTTTTTTTCTTTCTTGGTACCCTATTCAGGCAGGCTGACGCGACACCTGCGATTCTTTTCCGAGAAAAATAGTCCGATAGAGCACACATACGGCAAACAGCTGGAAACCATCAAAGTCATGAACATTCTGAATTCGAAGCTGACAAAGACATGGCCCAGACAAGATTTACGTCGTGAATTGGGTCAGATAGACAGACGATTGGAACCAAGCTAGAATGTTCTCAAGCACTCAAAACACCAAGGGAATACGATGCCAGCCAGGAGGGTGCAAGTATGATGAGGCCGTGCTCACAAAGCACAAGTGTACGTGACCAGCCGAGCGCAACATGACAGCCCAGGCCGAGGAGAACATGCGGAGGGTCTGCCAAGGGAGGCCTTAAGCCGCAGTCAGAGTCTTGTATTCAGTACGTGGGGCTCAATTCCGTATCTTCTCTAACTCTTCATGGTCTGCCAAGAACAAGATGCATGCGACAGAACGGGCGCCCTAGGCGGGCCGCAACGCCCCTTCCATGGCTTACTAGATGTGGTCAGTGTATGCAACAGTTCAGCCAATGCAACACTATCAGCCCTACTGAAATATCTCTCTATTATCTTTAACGCGTAATATGTTTAGTATTATAATAGCTCTTATAAAAGTAATTATAGTAACTAATTTACAAGATATAGAAAGTTTGCTTTTATACTATATAGCTATAAAAAAGTTTAGTATTTGTTAGGGAGGGCTCCTAGCGGAGCCGAGCATGCAGCTACACGCGCCTACCACTCAGCCAAAAGGCAGGCACAAGACAACAAAGCTTCGTTGTTGTCTGCGTAGCTGATACTTAAGCTTACGTGGAGTGTACGGACCCGCACTGTGACGCTACTTACTAAGCCTCCTACTAAAACTACTACGCGTGGCTATAATATTAGACTACTAAAGAAACATAAGTAAATAGTAATATATTATAGCTTTATAAGAGTACTCTACTAAAACATCTCGCGATAACAACGTTTTAGTGTGTAGTAGTTAAAAGCTTTATTTTTTGGTGGGCGCCTATTTCGGTGGGGTGTTGCATCGGCTGAACTGTTGCACGCACTGACCACATGCAGTATGCCACACGCGGTGAGGTAATGGTTATCTGCATATGCACACGTACGTAGAGGTAAGCCAGCATCCAGCGACACCGAGCCCCGACGCAATAATATCCCGTGAGCCACACTAGACTGCGCGCTAGCCCGCTCCAACTTCCGACAGCATCGCAATGGATCGGTGGATGCATCTTGTCAGCCACGTACCGACAGGGGCTGAGGGGAAGCTTAGCCCGAGATCCCCACCCCTGGCGCATGCAGTCAGCTGTCGCCTTTCCCGCTCCTCCTTCCGACTTGCGCAATCCTCGGTGATTAATGCCATGTGGCTCTCGTCAGCCACTGCTGGCGCTTGCCATTGGCCCCTTGACCCCTCACTCTTCAGCCGCATTGCATCGACCCGGTGCCACTCGCAAATTTTCGTTTCGATATTGTTATCATTTTTTTTAACTTCCTACTGCCGATCTACGCCCTTGCAAAGACAAAACCAGATATGACTACAGCGGCAGTTTTCGGCAGTACTGGTGCTGTTGGCAGCCATATTCTCGGCGCCCTCATTGCCAATGAAACTTACGTCTCGATCAAGACCATCTCCAGACGCTTACCAAGAGCCCAATCATCGAAGCTGGAAGCCATCCTAGAAGCTGATACATCAAAGTGGGGGGACATCATTTCCAAATGGGACCCTAAGCCGTACGTTGCCTTCAATGGCATCGGCACCACACGCGCTCTAGCTGGTGGGCTTGAAAACCAGCGCAAGATCGACCACGATCTCTGCATAGAGACGGCCAAGGCATCCAAGGCTGCTGGCGCCAGCATCTACGTTTTCATATCTGCCGGGCTGATACGGAGTTTTGTCGGCCGAAATCTGCCCTACAGCAAAATGAAGATTGGCGTCGAAGACGCCATCCGTGACTTGGACTTTGAACACGCCATTGTACTAAGACCAGGCATGATTGTCGGTGATCGCGAGAGGCCCAAGTCCATCTTCCTCGAGACTACCATTGGAAACATTCACAAGATTAGCCAGGGCCTTCAAGACTTGATTGGTATGTAATTCCCTCCTTTCTTCCCACTGTACACACAGGTCAACCAAACTGACCCTTGGACCTCAGGCGTGGACCAGAAAATTCTCGGACAGGCCGCCGTCAATGCTGCGCGAATTGCGCGCGAAGGCAAGGCCCCTTCCAAGTACTGGGTCCTTGAGCAAGCCGACATTATCAAGTATGGTCGCGATGAATGGAAAGAGGAATACAAGAATGAATCGAAAGATGAATCAATTCGTCAAAGTGGCACAGAGTTGTAAATGTACCACAGTGCCCTTGGTTTTCGCACTCGCTTATTCTGATTGTTATATACCTGAACACGGAGTTGGTGTTGTAAAGGAAACTTGGAGTGGTCTATGGTGTTTCTCAGTTTGCATAGCTACCGTTTGATACCTGAATTCTTTGAAAAAAGAAGAATCGTGTTCAATATAGACTAATTTAGACAAATCACATAAACTTTACCAATCACAATCTGACTGCCTGTGTAACGTTGTGTTCTCATCACACCACACTGAAGTTGACACCATGTTGCATGAAATTTGAACTATCCACCTTTACTGCATATCTTTACAGGCGTTGGTTTCAATAAAGACCTATGCAAGGAAAGAAACCATGTTCCAGTATCACACTGGACTGTTGTCAACTTGATTTTATACTTTACTTATGTATAGTACTACAACATGATGAGCAGTAGATTGATAGAAAACCAGTTCTCAGAAAAGACAGCAATCAAGCAAAAAACACTTTTCCAGCAAGCTTTCTTCACCAGTAAACACCAAACACTCCTAGCTTCAATTTCGGTATGCGAAAGTGGAAATATTTCTTGAGAAATCATCATTAAAATTCTTATGTACATCATCCATATAATCAAAGAGAGAAAAAAAAAGATTCGACCCTTCAAACCTTGGGGATCCCCTAAGGTAAGCAGGACAGTAATCATGGGACCAACAACCACTGTGCAAATTCCCGTAAAGTATTCGCGAAAAAAAAACTTCATTTCAACGTTCAACGCAAAAGTTTTGACAATGGGTATATATTCGTTAATTTCCTTCTTCACACTGCTCAACATCCAAGGACTTAACTAGCAGTCTAATTACCACAAGTCCTACAAACAAACAATTGAAACCCCTACAAGAGAAAAAGCGGGGGGAAGGGGGGATCCAATTGCAAGATGAATTACAGTATATGTATATGTGCTATCGCCGAGCAAGTTGCAACGCCATAGTAGAAGCCCGCAAAAGACAACCAGAACTTCCAACTTTGAATCATGGAAAAAAGGGGAAGAAGAAAAAAAAAAAAGCGCGCAAGAGAAAGGAGTCAAGAGACGAGGAAGTCTAAAATGCAGCTCTCTTCTCAGCATCCTGCTGCTCGACAGCAGAAGTCCTTCCAACCACCGTCTCGCTATCTAGCGAACCCTCTGCGCGAATCGGGGCCGCCTCCTTCTCAATCGTCGGGCGCTTGGGCACACGGGCCCAGTAGTACAAGCCACAAGCGGCAAAGGCGTTGAAAACGACAAAGACCCACATGAGGCCAAAGTTGCGCCAGACATTCGAGTACTCTGCATGGACCGTCTTGAGGAAGACGTTGGTGTCGCCCATGGGGCAGAAAGCGCAGTTGGACGTGGCACTGGGGTTCTGGACGTAGCCACCGGCCATGGCCTGGTACTGTGCCATGTACTCGCCGCAGGTGCCGTTGACGGGGTCGAAATGCAGATACTCGTTTGCGGCACAGGTAACGGACGAGTCGGCGACGCCGACGGCCATCATGCCGCCGACGAGATAGGTAAAGGGCGAGACGCGGTACATGAAGATCCAGAAGCGCGGCATCTGCTCGGGGGTGGTGAGGATGCCGCAGAAGATGACGCAGAGCGTGAAGAGCAGGTTGCCCATGTTGCCCGCGTTCTCGGCCGTGTCCAGGGCGGCAATCATAAAGTGGGCAAAGGTCGAGGCGAACATGAGGAAGACCCAGACGAAGAGCCACATTTGGGCGCCGCGCAGCGCCGTCGAGTCGGTGGCCTCGGCGTTGTGCGACAACCCGATGGGGTAGTACCAGCAGAGGAAGAGCAGGACGGACATGAGCGTGTTCCAGGGGAGCTCGACAATGATGTTGGACATGATGAAGGCTTTCCACGAGTACGTCTTGGAGGGCCGTTCGCGCGCCTCGTACAGCGCGCGCTGGGCGACAAAGTGCGGCATGATTTGCTGGATGAACTGGCCAAAGAGGAAGAAGAGGGTGAAGATGGCGAACATTTGGTTTTGCAGGCCCTGCAGCGTGTTGGGCGTGTTGTAGAGCGAGAAGCCAACGTAGAGGGACGTGCTGACGCAGAGGAAGGCTTTGGAGTAGATGTACGTCGGTGTGCGCCAGAGCTGCTGGAACACGCGCAGTTGCACCTCGTAGAATTGCGCCCAAAAGGGCGCAGCGAACTCTCGGAAGCTGGCGGCGTCGTGTGCCTGCCGGGAGGCGGTGCGGCTTAGGTCTGTCATGCGAGAGCGCTCTTCCTTGAGCTCAGCGAGGTGCGCTTGAACGTATGCGTATTCGGGCGACTTGCGCCAGGTGTCGTGCCAGTCAATGTCAGTGTGGGATCCGGGAGCTGCGCCGATAACCTCGAGCATCCATTCTGCGGGGTTGGCGGCAGGCGGGCATGGAGGTCCGCCGTTGCGCGTGAAGTAGTCGATGAGGATCTTGGAGTTCTCGCCAACGTCGCCGTAGTACACAGTCTGGCCACCGGACTTGAGGAAGAGCAGGCGATCGAATCGCTGGAACAGCATGGCCGACGGCTGGTGGATGGTGCAAAGAATGGCCTGACCGTTTTTCTTGAGCTTGTCCAGGAGGTCGAGAATCGCCCATGATGTCTGAGAATCAAGACCAGAAGTGGGTTCGTCGAGGAAGAGAAGCAGAGCTGGCCGAGCGGCAAGCTCGACACCGATTGTCAGTCGTTTACGTTGTTCAACATTGAGGCCCTCGCCGGGGATACCAACAACAGCGTCGGCGAACTCGGTCATCTCAAGGAGCTTAATGACTTCAGTAACATAGGCAATCTTCTCTTCGCGAGGAATGTGAGCGGGCTGGCGAAGAAGAGCGGAGAAGGTAAGAGCCTCGCGAACGGTAGCAGTGCTCAAGTGGAGATCCTGTTGTTGGGCATAACCAGTCTTGCGCTGGAACGAATCGTCTCGCTCCTTGCCATCAACCAGCATTTCGCCAGAGATAACACCCATGGTGGTACGACTAGCGAGAACATCCAAAAGCGTAGTCTTTCCGGCTCCAGAGACACCCATGAGGGCCGTCAAGGTACCTGGTTTGACCCATCCGTCAACGTGATCAAGAATCCTACGGCGTTCCTTTTGGATCTGGATATCGTAGCAAATGTCCTTCCACTGGAAAATGGCAGTTTGTTGCTCAATAATGGCAATGTCGTCGGACTTGGTGTTTGCCGCAGTAGTGGTGCGCTCGCTGCCGCCTTCGACATCATCCTGGCCAGTGCTCCTGTCGAGGTTCTTGTGTCCACGGCGGAAGACGAGGATTTCACCCTTGGACTTCTTCTCGGTGATAAAGTCTGAAGCAACCAGGTAGATGGCGCAGAGAATGACCATGAAAGCAAAGATGATGCCGACGTTCCTCCACTTGCGGCTGGCCTCATAGCCGTATGTAGACCTGATGTAGTCGTCGCCGAGGACAAAGGGCTGTCCGGGAACGGATCCGACGGTGGAACACACACGGTTGTTGCCACCAACATTGTAGCTGGGACCCGCAGGAACGTAGTTGACGCAAAGGAATTCGCGGCCGGAGAACTCGTTGACCATGATGGACTCGAATCCGTATGCGATGGGATCAATGTAGGCCATCCAGCGAGACCAGCCGGGCATGTAAGATGTTGGAATGGTAAAGCCAGTGTACATTGTGAGACCCGTGATCAAAATCGCGGCAAATGGCAGGGCCTCGACGAGCGACCTGGTCAGGGATGCGATGGATCGGAAAAACATGGACATGGTCAGGGTGAGGACAAACGAGGTAAAGACGAAGAAGAAGAAATTTCCAGGCTCTCTCCGCAAGTTCGTCATGAAGTAGAGAATTAGGTTAGATGAGATAGCGTTGAGGGTCTTGTACGGCAGGTCCATCAGCATAGACGCGATGGCCTCGGCAGACGGATGGTAGAGAGCAAATCGAGAGTGCTTTTCGACAATCGGTCTTTGAGCGTAGAGGGTAAGCATTTCGAGACCGGAACTGAAGGCGTTGATGACAATGGCAAAGAAGAGGAGAGAGCCGCGCTGGAAAAAGCTCGAAGTATCGTCCTTGAGGTTAAAGAACATACTCGAGATAATCAGAGCAATGATGGCATTTCCCATGGCTGAAGAGATGGTAATGCTAGGATCGCCCTTTAATCGGACCCAGCTGCGCCAGAGGCACAGCTTGATTTGCTGAGTGTATGACAGAGTATACGGCGACGATACACGCTGGGCCTTGGCTTGCTGGGCTCGTCGGGATTCTTTGAATCGTTCCAGATGCTCGCCACCGGTTGCGTATTTCGAGTTGTACATCTCAATCTGGTTCAGGAGCTCTGCGCGTTCGCGCGAGGCCTTCCACCGAGCAGCGAACTCATCTGGCGTTCGCGGAACCTGGTTCTCATACCCAGGCTGCACAACACGCTCAAGATGGCTGGTCATGGAAGTGAGGAAATCGGCATCGGTTTGTCGATCGGGGCAGACGAAACCCATGTTCAAGAAGTACTGCTTGGCCTGGGCGGTAGGGCCAAAGTAAATCTGGCGACCCTTGTACAAAACCAGTACTTTGTCGAAGTAGTCGTAGGCAGCTTGAGGTGCTTGGTAGATGGCAACACAGGCGGTAGCTCCGTTGATTTCGGTTTGCATGCGTAGCGTCTTGCAAAACTCGATAGCATTGGCGCTGTCAAGACCACGGGTCGAGTTGTCCCAACATTGCAGCGGCGCCTGGCTGAGACAGGCTTCGGAAATACTGACACGCTTGCGCTCTCCTCCAGATACTCCGCGAATGAAATCGTTTCCGACAATGGTGTTCTTCGTGTGGCTGATGCCGAAGCTGGCCATAATGACGTCGCGCATGTGTTCGGCATACTGGTCGATGGTAGCGCCTCCAGGAATATGACGCGGGGCTCGCGCGCGAGCAGCGAAGAAAAGAGTATCTCCAACAGTGATGTTGGGGAAGTGAACGTCGACTTCAGCGGTATAGATGGCTTCTCCTCGGAAGTTCTTGATCAGCTGCTTGGGAGTCACACCTGAAGCGTGTCAGTGGGAGGCAGCGAGTTCAAAAGGCATCTAAGCCTTACCTTGGTAATTGAGGTTCGATTTATCATCGACGTAGAAGCCGTGAGTTTGTCCAGTAAGGGTCTTCAAGAAGGTTGAGCATCCTGCTCCGGGAGGACCAAGGACGACAAGCATCTCTCCAGCCTCGACCAGTCCCTCCAAATCGCGTAGGATCTCGATCTTGCGCTCGC